AATATGTTTTATGAAAAAAACAAAAGGAAGAAGAAAAGAGAGAGTGGAGAAAGACTAAGAGATGAATGAGTGGGTAGAATGATGATTGCCTATCCTAAATGATGGGTAGATGAAATATACTAACAATTTTTCCTTTTTTTCCTCTTTCATTGCATTTTTATTTTTATATATATAAGAAAAAAAATTTGTATATATATAATATCATTTTGCTTTTTATTTAAAACATTTTGTTGGTTTAAAAAAAGGAAAAAAGGGAGGGATGAAAAGAGAGGGGGAGAGAAACGGAGAGATGAAGAACAAGAAGAATTTGTGTAAGCTAAATTAAGTGAAAAAAAAAAACAAAAAGAAAGTTCGAAGAAAATATTCAAAAAAAAAAGTTTTTTTTTTTTTCTCTTAGAGTAGAAATAGATGACGCTATCAATGTTTATAAACTAATTTCTTGCTTTTCATCTTCTTTTTTTCTTTTTCTTCTTTTTCTACCATCCTGAAAAAGAGAAAGAAAAATAAATTACTTCCTATTCATACGTTTTTTCCTTTAGCTCTTTTTTCTTTTTTTTATTTGAATGCTTTAGAAATTCCTTTTTGTCCATAAAAATACATTTAAATTTATTTCATTATGTCAAATGTAATATTTCAGTTTTTTTTTTGGCTAACTAACAATGTGTCATGCTAAATTTTCTCACTTATGAGATGTATGTATATCACTATTTTTAATCTTATTTTTAATACATAATGCATCTTAATTTCATATTAAAAAAAAGGAAAGATTCTAAACATTCTAAAATGAATCAGAAAAAAAATAAATGCATAAATAAATATTTATTATAACAATTATTTTATCACTTTCTCACTAATTTTTTGTTAATTGAAATGAAATAATATAATGTATATGAAATTGAATAGAGAGTATGGGATAAGAGAGAAAAATAAATTGATGAAAAAATATTCTATTAGATGAAGAATTTCAGGATAAATTATAAAATTTGCAAATTTTTATCAGACTTTTTCTTCTAATATCATCTTACTAGGTTGACTAACTACTAAAAGTAAATGATATTAAAGGAACAATTTATTCATTTAAATGTCTGATTATTTTAGCTTGTAATTTTAAAATGATATTGGGAAGTTTTGATTTGAAAATGTAAGAAAATTTGACAAGAAATATGACTGTGATAGACAGGCGAATAAATTTGCTATGTCTATTTAAATTCATAAAATAAAAAAATGAAAATGAAATTGTTGAAAAAACGGAAAAAAAAAAAAACATATATGAAATAAAATTTGAGTTTATTATAGTTATCATCAATTAATCTTACGGATTCTTTTTAGATATTTTTTTTTTTTTTTTTTTAAGGGAAATATTTAATGAAATAAATTAATTGAACTTCTATCTAGAAATTGCTAAACTACTTAAATGTTTACTCTTACCGTTTTTTATTTTATAGAAAATTTTAAACATGAGGGAAAAAAGGGAAATGAATGCAAAATATTTCATTTGTAAGCAAAATCATCATTGGTAAATAACACTCAGTATTGTAGAAAAAAGAATAATTACAAGAGAGGGAGAGAGAGAAAGGAAGAAAGAGAGAGAGGAAAAAGTAGAAAAGAAAATTACGAAACATTGCTAATTCACTCCAACTAGTAATTTTTGTTTTCTTTTTCTTCATTTGATAATATTTAAAGCTCTTAAAAGAAAAAATAATAGCAATTGAAAAATTTCTGATCTTTTAATCTATTATTAAAAAAAGACAAAAAATTAGTAATAATCATATAGTTTAATTCAAATTACTAAAAATTTGAATCGTTTTTTTTTTTTTCTTTTGTTCTCTCTCTCCTTTTCTTAGAATTAATCTTTTAAGTTAAACTACAATAAATTTAATAAGGAATAGAAAATAACAGATAGACTGATAGAATAAAAGTCGGTCAAAAATTTTTAAAAAATAGAATAAAAAAAGGTGGAAAATTTGAGAAAAAAATAGAACAAAAGATTGAAAAAATTTGATAAATCAACCAAGTAATTAAAAAAAAAATTCCAAAAATAGTTATTGCTTTCAAATGCACATCAAATTGGTAAGCTTCTAGGAGAAAACATTTCTGATTTATTTTTCCTCACTCTTACTTTACTCCCTTTTTCCTCAAATCTATAGCTAGCATCCCTCTTTTGATCAATACCTTCCAACTGCATCGTTCCACCACCACCAAACTATCATGTACTCTTGAAAATCTCTCTCTGTACACCTTTGTTTCTGATTTTGTTAACTAACTAAAAGGATGACATTTACCACTAGTTAACTATCATGGGATTTTATATTCTTTTAATTAAACTTTACCACTTAAATTAATTTTTAGAAAAAAATTATATATATATATATATATATATATATATATATATATATATATAATCAAGTCATTATAATATTTAAAATAGTAAATATAAATATGTAATATGAAAAATTTTAATCCAGTTCTATATATAAATATAATTTACCAAATTATTATAACATTTAAAATAGTAAATATAAGAAAATTAGCATTTAAATTATTATAGCATATAAATTTAAAAAAAAACATTTAAATATGAAAAATCGGCGTTAAAAAAAGCATTTAAAAAAAATAGAATATGTAGTAGTATGAGAGATTTTAATCAATCAGTTATATGCATAAATATAATTTATGAAATTGTTATAGCATTTAAAATAGTAAATGTGAATATGTAATAATATAAAGAATTTTAATTAGGCAATTCTAAAAATGCTTTTTTCTAGTAAAATTTTTAAGCATTTATAGTTTTTAAAGCATTATTCAAGCTTACTTCGTTTTTTTTCTTTTTTTTTTTTTTTGGCTTCTTTTAGTTTTTATTTTCTAATTCAATATTTATTCGATCTTATTATCAATTTTAATGCATATTGTATGAATTATGTAGCAAAAAAAAGATTCATGAACACTAAAAAACGGAAAACCTAGAATTAATTTTAATCTAATTTATCTACTTGAATTTAATTTAAAGCAATACACACTTCAAAATTTTGTAGTTAGAATAAGCATCAAGAGTTACTTATGAATATTAAAAACTACTTGGTTGTGAATTCTTAAAATTTTAGTGGTTAAAAAAAAAAAGGAAATAGAAAATGAAAAAAATATTTCAATTTCTTATAATTCTTTCGAAATTCGAGCTTTTTTTCTTATTTTTAATAAGTGCTGAAAATTCTTTTTTTTTCGTGTATATTTGCAAAGCTAATCCGACAATGTTGTAATTTTGCAAAAGAAACGAAAAATTCTTTGATCGTCCACAAACAAAATCATTATGTACTTTTCTTATGGCAGCAAACGATAGTGGCAATGGACACGAAAGCTATTATTAGCTTGTTGACCATCGATGACGTAACAAGCTCTCATTTTAGCTGCTAACACAAATATGAGGATGTATGTATGTGTCTGTGTGTGTGTATGTGTGTTGTATGTTTACTTATTTCAAATCATTGAATTAAATTTATGCTAGAGAGGGGGAAACTGTGTATGTGTGTGAGGTAAATAAACGATAGCTAAAAGAGGGAAAGAATGAGAATTATGTTTAATATTAAGCTTCAATGAAATGATAAATGTTCTTCTATGTGTCCAAGTACCAAGTACTACGATGCAATGACATTGCTTATGTTATTAGTTTCAGTCTAAAATTGCCACAATTTTTAATGACCAATTCAAATTCTCTCCTCTCTTTTTCAATTCTCACTATTGCTATAAATGATTACACAATGTGTATGTGTGTGTGAGAGAGAGAGAGAGAGAGAGATGGAGAAAGGGAGAAGGCGAGAGAGACGATTGATTGTTAAGGAAATTTTGCTAAAATTTATAAGTAATATTTTACTAGGGAAATTAGAAAAAGAGGACAGGAAGATAGGAAACTTGATGATGATAGCGGCTAGACTGAAAAGGGACACATGTCCACCAATGGATGAATTAGTGTGTGTGTGTATGGAGGCTTACTTCCACACAGCAACCAGCTAATGTACATTTCTTTGGCTTGTATGTATATGTGTATGTGTGTATGTGTATGTGTGGCCATTGAAGTATTTGTACAGCTAGCTATGAGATATGAAAGTAAAAGGATTGCATAAAATGAAGAGAGGAAGAAGCTAGGGACAGCTTTGATGATGGTTGGTTGATGCAACCAGCCAACCAGGAAGTGAAATTTCTCCCATTTTCCCAATAAATAATCACAAGGGATAAGAGAAAGGAAAAGAAAGGGAATTACTAACCTCAAAAAAAAGGAAGAGAAATCACATTTGATAATACATTATTTCGTATAAAATTGATAGGAAGAGAAAAAAATAATAGTGATAATGCGAGAGGAACTTCTTACTTTTGTTTTAAGGATTAGATTTTTGAAGTACTTTAAAATAAGGATAGAAAATTCGTAATTACAAAGTTACATCTTAGTTTTATGTTTATCAGCAAAGAAAATTTTATTTCACGTAGGTATTTTTCTAACAAAATTTCTTTGAATAAATTAGAAAAAAAGTTTAATGTAGTATGATTTCTAATAACTCAATTAATTATGGATTTAGACACACAGCAATATCATTTTAGTAAATGCTAACACTTTAAATTCTAGGAATTCTCCTCATTTTTTGTGTATTTTAAAATACAATAACTGATGTGATATAATAAATTGGTTGCAAGTATATAATCTTATATTTCAAAAGTAAAAAAATCTTCCATGTAGATACATTCTCGATATGAATTAAAGATTGAACACTATTCATTTGCTGTTTGTTAGTGGTAAAAAAGTTTTTAATGTCATTTGTCACTTTCCTTGATATAAGGGAATATAAGATAGCATGTGGTTCAGCTAATGTTAATCAAGTCAAATTATCATAAATGTGTACTTTATTTCATAATAAAATCATATCATAACTAAAATAGAATTTTTTTTCCAACAAATTGATAGAAAACAACAAGAATTAATATGTGAACAGAAAAAAAAATCATTGAAAATGGGATCATTTTCCACCACGACCTTTCTTTTGCTTTCCCATTTTCATGCTATTCCCGCGTGTTTTTTTCATCTTTTTCAATTTATTTTGGAAATGCTGCTGCCGATGAATAGATGATTTTGATCGCTTCGGTTTCTTACTTTGGTTTTTGTCCACATTTCTTAAATACATTCAATTCAAATGCTGGAGCCGCCGTTATTTTACATTTCTATGACAACAATCGATAGTCTAGTCATCAAATGGATTATTTCATATATTTACTGGACTATTTTCATAGGTTATTTCAGTGAACCTAAAGTATGGTTATGCATCTCTATTATCATCATTAGATGATTTACACTATACTGAATGATCAAAGCTCATAGTATCAAGATTCGCATAATCACTGATGGAACATTTTGATTTTCAATCACTTCTAAAGAATTTTTAAATTGCTACTTACTGTTGCTGATTGCCTTGCTGACTGGCTGTCAAACGCGTTTCGTTCAAATCACTTTTTTTGGAAGACAATCTATCCAAAATTTGCAACTGCTTTTTTTGTTCACCAGAAACACCCACCTCATTCGGTTCATACTGCAAAATAATCGTTGGCAAAAAATCCACGTCACTTCAGTTTTCATAAAAAAGTGTCCTACTATCATTTCGTTCATTCTATTTCTTTTTCTATTGGAAAATATGAAACTGCACTATAACAAGTTAAAAGTTACCTTGTGATGTTTACCTGTCTTCAGCAATTTCTTTTCATTTTTAATTGCTGGTTGAAATGCACCACATGATGCAGTAGAATATCGCGCTCGATTTATCTGATTTACTAGCTGTAAAAATGAGAGGAAAAGTTTTTAACTTTTTACTACAACAAAAATAGTAATACTTCCAGCAGAGGAAAATGTTTGGTAAAGGACAATATAACTTGAAATGTTTGGTCGACTGTTTTTATCATATTTATAATTAGTTATATCTTCCAGATATAACCCTATATTATATTTAAGCATTAAACTCTTTTTGAAGAAATATCATGATAACCTCATCATAATAATAGAAAGATATGTTCAAAGCTGATATGCACGGAATCATTTAAAATGTGCATCTTTTTTCTTGAACTTGAGATATCAATTTGGATAATGAAAATAATTTGCGTAATCCAACCTCATGTCTATCCCGATTATTTAAATCAACGGCAATACCAAGAGGAGTTGCGTTTGCTGATGAAATTCCTTTTAAGCGTGCGATGTTGCGTAAACGCTGCATTTCATTTTTGTGCACTTTTTCTTTCTTGGCTTTTTGTCGTTCATCAAAATAATCAATCATAGGATCTAAACTTTATGCTCAAAATTATATAAATTAAGAGATATTATAAAAAGATCCACAAAAATTCAAATTACTATTCGTTCGTCCATCCATGTTAACACTGAATTGAACCTTCGAACTCTGGGATTTTTTATATGACATGACTTCCTTGATATTCCAACATCACATAGTTCATTCTATCAATTTCAGATTATAAAAGAGAAAACAGTTTGCTTTATTTACTGCAACAGCTAAAAGTTAATTATTAATTCCCAGTACCGCAAGAATCATTTTTTAAAAAATGGTGCTACCTTTGTTATCTGGTATTTCGATTAGCCATTCTTTAGCATTATTATTTTTAACACTTTTATATCCATACCTCGCTCTCCACTCCTTAAAAAAACTAGACTTTCGTTATCCAAACTATATTATAGATATAGGAATAAGACAATTTTATTAAGTTAGGTAATGTATTTTATTCCAATTTCAGGTCGTTATTTACAAAAAAACCTAACTAATTAAGCTCCAACCTGAGTTTGTTCATCAAAAACTTTTCGATCTTTCTTTTTTTTTCGTATTCCTTTCTGTTGCGCATACTGTTCCCATTTCGTTTGCTGACGTTCAGATGGTAACGGTTTTTCTCGAGGAAGTCGAAACAATGTTGCTGGTAACTGCAAAGTAAGAAATTAAATCTGATAGTGTATTTATAAAATATTTTCAAGTTTTACCGGTTTTCAATATTGAAATTAATCAACAACACTTGAAATTCGTATAATTTGGATCAATAAAAGATTCATGGGTAAGTAAGTATAATTAAAAGCATACTTTTGCACAGAGAGCTTCATCAATCCGTTTTCTCTCCAACTCCCATATTTTATTAAACAAGAATTGCGCATTATCTCGTACTCTTGCTGATAGTTCATTCTCGCTTAGCTTGCTATAAAAATTATTACAGTTCAAATAAAAAGACTTGTTATGCTTATCAGAGCCCAATATCAGCACATAGTTTAAAATGTGTTCTAACACTGAACAAGCAAACGTAAACCATAAACGAAAAATACAAAAAGAGGTAGTCACTTGAAATAATGAGACAGAAAACCTTACTTTGTTGAACCTTCGTCTATTACAGGATCATTATCAATGATAAGCAAATTACCAACATCAACAAATGGATCTATAATTTTATCCACTTCTGTTGGTAATGATATAAATCCTTTTTCTTCCATTCTAGTAAGCAAACTCTGAAGCATTAAAGCATAGATGATAAATATAGATTATAATAAATACTATCAAACAAATAAAGCACAATCAATGTGGAAACTTCTTACTGCTTTTAAACAAATCTGACTGCTACTATTATTACTATATTCATAATATTAAGTAAGCGATATTAAATAAGCAAAAATTGCATAGGGAAACTGACGAAACCCAAGAAAAAAATAACACAGCAATTGAATTTTTATTTTATATTAATGAAAAAAAAAAAACAATGTATAAGAACGAAGAAAAATAATGTACAAAAATACATCAAATGTATAAAATCGAAGAATATTCTGGAGATACTTAATGGATGAGAGAAGAGAAATGAAATTAAATGGAATTGTTTTTCAGTATTGAATATAATGTTGAGAGATATAACAACATTATGATAATATAAAAAGCACGAAAAAACAATAATTGATTAATATGAAAGCATATTTCAATGAATAATATATCTTTATTGAGTTAAACATACCTTCAAAATATATCAGTGATATCAAACAGAGGACAGCATCGTCAATCTATTCAAAATAACTACTGGTATATCATTAAAAACTTTCAAAAATATTTTCATTATAAGAAAATGTTCAATAAATATACTAGTTTACTGGAAAATCAAAGACAGTGATTATATCAGGAATATCTGTCACCTTTGGTCAATATATGAATTTCATAATAAGAATAAAAAATCATGAATAGAAATTGCTGTTGTAGATGATCTACAGTTAAGACATAAAATGAACATTTCCATCATAAAGTTATATTCAATAACGACTTCCGGTATAATAGCTAATATTTTATATCGCTGTTCATATTTCATCTCATTATCAGCAAGAAGCACAGTTAAGTTACTAATTAAGTAAAATATATGCACTATACACCGAAAAAAATCATTCTTCATAAATAACATCTTCACGATTTTCATATTCAAGAAAAGCATCAAGATCAGTTAACATACCTACCACAGTATCACCTTTGCCTGATGAAATTAGTTCTTTTAATGTTATCCTGAAACTTCGAAAGTCAAAACTTCATTTTACGTAAATAATATGTTGAATAAATTAAAGATTATGTAAATCACTAATTAAATCAAAAAGGAAATATTTTTGTGCCGTACCCATCAGTGTTTTTTGAATGACACATATCGAATATCTCATTTTTGATATCCTCGAATGAAGGTACTTTCTGCGAATTATCATCCGAGAGGCAATCTTCTAGCATTTTCGCAAGATCGCGATAGAAAAAATTTAAATCCGAAGCAGTTAATAAATTATCACCATCAACATCCAACACTCGAAAGTAATAACTCAATGAGGAACGATCCTAAATTTTCCACATTAAAAATAGATAAATAAACAATTGAATAAAGAAATAAGCTGATTATGAGAAAAAAAATGCATTAAAATAACAAAAATAGCAGCATATCAACCTTATTATTAAAGACGCCCAAAATTAATATTTTTAATATTATTAAAGATGCCCAAAATACACGTAAACTTACTGACTTATGTTCCATTGCAAATATAAGGTCACAAAATCCTCTCAAGTCAAGTTCATCATTATCATATGTTTGCTGAACTTCAAAAACTCTAAAAAAACACGAATTTTGATACAAACTTTCAAGTCAGATTCCAAGAAATAATGTTACTCAGAAAATTTTAACGAAAAAAAAACTGAAAAACCTCTGCATAAAAGAGTTAGTAACACGTTGAAAATCAGTCATTTCTGAAAAACTCAAAAGTCCATTGCCATCTGTATCAAGCTGCTCATACATATCTTTTATTCTTAAACAGTTCCGTTTCGAAAACCTGCAAATCAAGAGAAAAAAGAAAAAAAGGAGAAGGCAAACATTATATGAAAAGCATATTTGTATAACAAGCTTCTGTACTCCAGAATTTGTTAGTGCAAATATAGCTTAAGTAATATCCTTTTTTGATTTATCAATAGATTTTTTGCTTAGCCGTACATACTCTGTTCGTATTTGCTATCTTGTTATCATTAAAAAAAAAAAAAAAAAAAAGTAAAAAAAAAAAAAGCAACTATTGAATTCACTAATAACATTATGCTTAACTCATTCGAAATTGAATTTCGTTTTCCCTTTTTTTGTAACAAATTTGAAGTATATGAATTATAAGCTGACATAATATATAAAATTAATATGAAAACAAACCAATTCAATGTACTAATTTGTGATGCTTCTTGTTCATTTTCTGCAGCTATATTATCATCACTGTTATTAACACCTGTTGATTCATTTAAGGCCTCAAATTCTTCTAATAATCGACTAGCTACAATATCAACTGTGCGAATTTTTTTTTGCTGCATCGTATCGAGTAAAAAGAAAATTTTTTGTGTAGCCATACATAAATAATAATCCAATAGCATTGGTTCTTCATCCTAAGAAAAGAAGAAGGAATGAAAAATATATATATATGCTCGACCAATGCGTCAATTAAACAACATTTAATTAAAAATTGAAAATATGAAACTCTTCTACTAATATATACATAGCTATATCAGCAATATACTACAATACTATATATTAAAAATTGAAAATATGAAACTCTTCTACTAATATATACATAGCTATATCAGCAATATACTACAATACTATATATTAAAAATTGAAAATATGAAACTCTTCTACTAATATATACATAGCTATATCAGCAATATACTACAATACTATATAATTTTTTACCAAAAGTCTGATTTTTTATTTCCGATTAGGTAGCAGTCTCTGCATTGTGAAAGGTATAATATTAACCGTTGAATTGAGAATTTCTTATTGTAATATGACTTACATTTAAATTTGCAAGAGAAGGTATTTGAGGTAGCACTTCCATCATTAAAAAATCTCGTAAATCCTAGAAAAATAATTTGAAAAAAAGATTCAAATAAGTATAAACAGTGAATTGTATCTGCAAGAGTTCGAAATTACACTTTGAAATATATTCATTTTAATCAATAACAAAAGAAAATGATCACCATTACTGATAGATACCCTTTGCCCGCAGAATCATAATAGTGTAAATGGATCAATCTGGTTAATTTCTCTTTTTTAGTCACCAAATAATTGATAATAAAATCAACAGCTACATATCCTTCATCTTTAGTGTTGCTAATTTGAAGTAAATCCATAAATGTTTCCGCAGACAAAAAATTTTGTAAAGCATTCGAAGCGATATTTACTGCACGCTGGAGAAAATATTAGTATTAATTGAAGAAACGCTCAATACATTACTCAAAACATTTATTTTAAAATGATAAGCTGGATTAAATTTATTTCGATATAAATTTTGCAAAAAAAAAAAAAAAAAAAAAATTGGAGAACATTTATAGTTACTAACTTTATATTTGTAGTAATCAACAAGTCTGCCATCATCACTTCTTGAAAGAATTGCACTTTTCCGCAAGTTACTACAAAACAACTGAAACAAATTTCATAATTTGGGAGAAAATTTATTGAAGTTGTAATGAAATATGGAAACAATTCTATTGGAAATGAACAAGTAAGAAATCAACAAATAAAAAAAATGTCAACAAAAATAATTTTTACTTAAAAAACCGTAACATAAACACACCTCAATATCTTCATCACTTGGTAATGATTCTAGTTTATGCTTCCACATGCGACGACGAGCTTCCAGACGTAGCTTTAGTCGCAAATTTTGTTTATTCGGAGAATTGACATGACCATTTGATCCACATATCAGCAGTTTGCCCTGAAATTATATTAAACAGTGAAGAAATTAGAAATCTAATAATGACTTATATTTTGAAAATAAGTTCTATGCGAAATAAAGACTAGTGTAATTAGAAAATAAATCAATGACCTCATCAGATAATTTTAAGTAATCGATTTCTTTGGGTTGCAAATCTAATCTTTCAACCAAATTCATCGCATCGCCTGAATTATACTTGATTTCATTAACATTAATCTGTCACTTTAAATTCCATAGCACAATTCTATCTATTAACGCTTATGTTCATTAATATAATTCTAGTTATTCAATCAAAACATAAACAGTACAATTTAACACTTAATATGATAGAATAAATGTAAATATAATAAAGAATGAGAAACCATCATTTTTTACATGGAAATCAAAAAAACTAACAAAACTAATCAACAAAAAAAAAAAAAAAAAAATTGTTTGTTGTACTCAATATAGTAATTTTCTATTCAAATAATACAATTTTTAAATATCCAAATATTCAAACTACGATTGAAGATTTGGTTAAATAATTTTGATGCACAATAATCAATCGGTAAAGAAAACGTCGTAAGTAAAACATCAATACTAGATTAACAATTTTACTATAAAATGAACTTGAAACATTTACAGGACCAACTTTTATTTTACCTGATGAAAAGACTACAGTATACTAACTCTCAGTGGGATATATTAAAATAAAGTTCATTACAATGGAGAGAACAAAAATTTTTTCACAAGTAAGATAAGAAATTAACAACTAATAAAGTGAGAAATCCATATGAAGCAAATACATATAATACAAATATCCATAAGATAAACTAGCAGGTTTCATTAACCTTGACAAACTAGCAAAACCTCTAATGAAAGTATAAAATGGTTGAATTATATTTGTGTCTAATTTATATAAGATATGTGGAGATGTTCTCAATATTTTTCTTTTTTCTGGATTTAATTATAAGAAAGAAAGACAAAACTGATGGAATATTAAATCTCGGAACACCTGGTGCTTGAGCTTTCACTAGTTTTATTCGATAGGAAGTACTACATTTATGTTAAGCGAATTTTTGAATAAATGTGAAATACTTGAGGTATTCTGGAAAGCTAAACATAGCATAGAACAGAATAAAAACCATATAACTAATGCCACTGTAAATCATATAATCACACATCCATTTCATCGGTTTTTATAAATTTGCTACTTTCTGGTAGCACACTATTATCTATTCTTATTCTGAAAAAATTAAGTGATTATAATAAATATCAAAAGAAAAACTGAATAAAATTAAAAATTGTTAGAATAAAAATAAAGACTGAAATAATTAAGAACCCAAGAGACCATTTGAGCAACAATTAATATATCAAATCTTATATTTGCTGCTCATCAAGAAATAATAATTAACTGGTACTTAACTGACGAATGATAAAACATGCACTAATTACAATAACAAACACTAACACGGGTAATATTTCTTCCTTGCCTTCTTTTACGTGTTGTTTTTTGCTTGGTGATTCAATTGTTGGAAAGTTAGCTTTCAGATAATTCAATGATTCACTGCAGAGAACTATTATATTCAACGATATATAATGGTAATGATGAGCAATTAGCATTTCAATCAGGTATATTACTTCAGTTGTTAATTTATTATACTTTCATAGTTAAGTATGCAACAAAATCTTCCTTCTTCCTTCTGCATATTTTACCCATCCACCAGAGTACAAAAATTACAGTGACTAATATTAACGTATTAATTAATATATAAAAAATTTAACATCAACTTTGCACGCTTCAGTAGAAAAGCATTCGGCTCAAGCAAACCACCCAGTAATTTATCGTCGAAAGCAGGCAATGGTATATTTGGATGTAATGCACGATACTTCATAGCATTGCAAACATTTTGCAATTTTGGATTGGGTACATCACGCGGACGTAGAGATTCCTCAAATTGTCCTGTTTCCGAATTACTAAATTTTATTGATTTCATTGATTGATTAAGAGAAGTTGATAACATATAAATTTCTTTAAAATTTTTTTTTTTTTTGGCATTCAAGTTGCAATTTTTGAATTTCTTATACTCTGGTAAAAAAATTTTCATGGTAAAAACTCGACAAAATTGAACTCACAAATGAGCCTTAGTGAGATCCATTGCTTCGACAAGTGCATGCATTGCCTTAAGGTCATCGCCTGAAAAGAAAGATACACATCAGTAATTTGTTTAGATAAAAAAATTGAAATTCTCCATTTAAATCTGCAAAATGTCACATAGCAAAATAGAACGAGTACTATGAATGCCAAAGTGATCGTCTAATGTAATATAAAAATCTTTACAGAAACTATTGTTGTAAAATTCAATTACGAAGCAATAATTTGTTCAGTTTTGGGACAGTCCTTTTCTTGAAAAACTTCTAAAAAAAATTTATGAAATATGAAAACTTTCACAAAGACAGCAAAAATGAGCATACAACCGCTATTTCTCACAAATATTAAACAGAGAAAAGTACAACTGCAAAAAGAAAAACACAACCGCACTTTTTGGTTCAGTTGTAGGACTATTCAGCTGCGGAAAATCAAGTCCACGAAAATCTTCATAAAATGGCAATTTAATGCCCACAAACATCTAAAAAACGATATTAATCAACATATACTAAGCAAACTATGCAAGCAATGATATATTGTTATTTTTAACTATCATTAATAAAATAAATATTTCTTAAAGCATACATCGACTCCTCTCTTACTCCTTCTTGGAAATAGACCCATGATTCGAGGATGTGATGCAGCACTATAAACATATCGAGTTAAAGCAACACTATCTTCAGCGATCATCGCATTTACAAGTGCTGATATAGCAATGCATGCACTCTAAAATATTCGCTTAAATTTACAAAAAAGAAAGTAGAAATTCACTAATCGTTGCTAAAACCATAAGTAATTACCCTATCGAGAGCTGGTGGAATAAAATAACAAGCGCCACCATCCATCATATAATGTTCCAATATCTGAACTAAAAATTACATTAACCAAGCATTAATTACATCAAAACATATAGCTGGAAATATAATTCCTTTCATCCTTGAATTTCATTATAAATATATCATAAAAATTTGTTCAAAAAATTTAAAGCAAGTACCAAGAAATATATTAAGACACGTCAAATATACTAAGGAAGAAATAAATTACTTTGGCAGACCATTTGACAATATTCCAAGCAGGGCAAGTCATTTTCATTAGTAATGTCATTCCACAAAGCACTAAAATCACCACTAAATAAACTGGCTAAAAAAAGTTATCTCTTTCGTTTACTTGAGATCTCTTCGCAAATTGTATGAGCTTCAAACAACGATTTTCCGGTTTCCACCCATATTCTTTTTGATCTTCTTCATTGTAAGGAACAATTGTTGTTCCAAATTTATATCCTAGAATCAAAACACGCTCCAATAACTTAAAACTACTTTAAAAAAGAAAAATAAATGCAATAATTTAAGTTTCAGCCAATATGTTACTATCCACTAATGTAAGCGGCTTACGACAAAATATTTTAAATATAAAGATAATCATCGTGATTTTAAAGCAAGTATGAAATCTTTGCGAATGTACAAAACTATTAGTACAAAAAAAGATTCTCAAAAACAAAATACTTTTAAAACTATTTAAAAATGACTATGAAATCCCATATTACATATTTATATAGTTCCTTATATAAAAAAACTATAACAGAACCTTTTATAGTTTGTTCTTTAGATATTTTTGAACTAGATCCCTGAGATAAGTTACTATCAGCACTGCCATCGCCATCGTCAACTTTCTCATCTTTTACACATTTTTCATATACTGTTTTACGTTTCAGCTATAAAAAACTAATAATGACGATATTCACATTGCACAGTACAGTCAAAAAAACTCAAACGTGACAGATAAGAGAATAACCTGAACATCGGTTATCGATGCATACTTCTGTGTAGCAAGTTTGAAATTAGCTGGCTGAATCTTTTTATACATTTGTAAAGGCAATTTGAAATCAATCCCCAGTTCCAGATAAAATTTTTGACCACGAACTTTCACTTTTCGAGGCACAAAGCGTTGCAGCACTGGTAAAGCTTCACTAAATTAATTATAAATTATAATTATACGAAAAAGATAGAAAGCAACTTTTTTTTTTTTTTTTCAAACTTAAAACTTGTTTATCAGCAGGAATCAAAAATAAAACTAATATCAATTAAAAAAAAACTCACGCAAAAGAATAAATGACACCATCAGTTTGTGTCAAAATATCTGTCAATATACGTTCAGCTGGTTCCATTTTGAACGACTGCGTTGTATTAGACAGTTTTGATTCTTCTAGTTCTATGGCTGATTCTTCAGTTGAAATGATCTCGTCCTTAGGTTTGCTTAACTTTCCAAATGATGGACCTCTAGAATTAATTCAAAATTTTATCCTTAAAGTGAGATATATACATAAAACTTTTTTTAAGTTACGTTTTTAATTTGATGTACAAAAGCCTAAGAAATCTTACACAACATTAAAATTGATTTCAAGTGCTTTCATGCCATTTATAATTGTTTCTATGCATTCTTCATCCATATTTCCATCAAAACCACCAAGATTTGTTACCAGAAGAATATTTCGTACAGTAATATTACTTTCCGGATAGTTTTCCAGATGATTTCGCATATAATCTAGCGCTGCAATTAGCGCAGATAGGACTGAAAATAGATAAGGAAAGGAATATGAATTTCTACAGATTTTTACTACCTAGAAATAGAAGAAAACGAGGAGAAACAAAAACTGAAACGTGAAAAACGTAAAAAGACAGTGAGAAAATGCACAATTCCTACGGAACCAATGAGTCACACTCTGATGAAAGTGACAAAGCAATAACACTGACTAAGTAACACCTCCTTCTATTATTTTTTTCGGTGCATGATACAAAGCTTGGAATTATTAACCAAAAGGTAACTCAACCTATGTATATCTCTTCATAATAATACAAATTAAACTTACAGTCACCATTAGTTGATTTACTCGGTTTAATTTCTTTATCAATAAACCGCAACCAATCAATTTTAGCTTGTTGCATCTCTTCCACATAAAAAAAGATATTTTCATCGGTTGTAATTGGATTTTGTGTTACTTCTGAGCCGAAAAGCATCAGTGTAAATTTATCAACTGACTCGGTAAATATCTTAAAAACATAATTTCATAACTTCTTTTGAATTATGGAAGCACACGAATAATAGAAAATGAATCAAGTCCTCCTATCCTATTAAGAAACAGAACTCATAAACAAACATTAAAATTATAATTCAAATCTGCTGAATTCGATCTGCAAATTTCTATCTATTTAGTCCATTCAGATGTAATACCATGATGATGTCAGATCTATGAAGATAAGTGGAAAAATTAAAATTTAGCACACTCAAAAAGCATATCAATGCAGAATGAACTATACTACGAACTATATAACTTGTCACCTGCAGAAATTTTTAGCAAATAAAACTAATATTTACAACCAAGAAAAAGCACCTATGGACAGATACTGAAATAACAAAAATATTTCATTTCTATTAACACTTAATGCAACATACCTTTCTTGTTATGATCCATTCTACGGTATCCTTTGCTAATTGCATGTCTGTGGTTGCAACCCCTTCTCTACTCATATTTGCTCCAACATCAATCAAAATTACAGTACATTCATGCGGTGGAGCCTTTTTGGCTCGTTTTTTCGGATGATCCTCATTTGACATTATTCTGAAGCTTTTGATTTAAATTGAAGCAACTAATAAAACATATTAATAGTCTTTAAAAAAATATGCATAAAATTGTCTGTCAGGAAGATATTGGAAAGAAATAACATAAGCAATGTAAAGAACTTCAAAATTGGGCACACCAAAAGGAAATAAGCAAGCTTTTACTAATCGATTAAATTTAGAATCAAAATTATAATCGTATAAACATCATGAAAGCTTTTCAGTCCAACTAAATTTCCTTGGCCGTACAAACAATTCGGTTCATAAATGGACCACTACAATCACCCAGTGGTCTTGCAAAGTATCTCGAGTCTGTCATAAGCTTAACGTTATCCAAACCTCGTTCGCTTTCTTTTATCCCTAATCTAAAGAAGATAATTTAAAAACAAATGTGAAAAGTTGAATAACAAACTCAAAATAAGGCATAATGCATTTCGAGATGTAAAAGTAATAAGAAACACTAAAAAAAATTGAGCGTATTTGAAACTATATTTAAAAAAAAAAATGCTACAACTTAGCTACATCACGACAATCAATCCGATAAGCTAGTAAAAATGAAAATTATAACATCAAGTGAAGAATATATGTCGATTAAAAATTCTAAACAAAGAAATAAATAAGAAAGACAACTAGCCTATTTAGCAGATGATCAGCATAATGAGGTACCACTGGCTGTAGCAAAATACCACAAATTCGTAACACTTCATAACAGATGTATAGCAATGAAGATACCTGATCAATGAAGTAGTAATTTCAATGGATCACTAGATTTATCTTTAATTAAAAAAAAAAATAGCTCTAACGAGCAATAGGTTTAGATATATGAAACTATAAAGCAACCTTTCTAACGTCCAATTCCTTCCATGGTTCATAGAACTGAAAAAAACCATTTGTTTGCCGCATAACATCCATAAGAAGTTCAAGAGCTTTGTATATCATTAATTCATCAAACTGTTCCTCATATACTTCTATAATATTGCTTCTTATATCCACTTATATTCAGTGAGTTCCCCAATATGTAAAAAAAAAAAATATGCGTATTGATTTCTCAATAACATATAATAGTCAACAAATCCATTTTTAGTTATTCACTAATTATTTATAAAATAGTATATACAGCTAGTGTTATTACTATGATAAGAAAGTGGAAAAAAAAAAAACCTTCAGATATACCTGTCAAACAGTTGATTGACTCTATTAGTGGTTCACCTAATTCCAACAAATTACGGAACGAATCCGAATGGAATGCAGGATATGTTTGAGAAGGGTTGAGTTTTCCAATCGTTGAACGTTGCAGTAAATTTCCAACATTGTTTATGAGATCCGTATTGACAACATTAACAGCTTTCAACATCGTGAAATCTGTGATATATGAACACAAACACTTGCATTACTTATCGATTCTAAGGACTTACAGAAACAACAAAAATATTAGACAAAATGAAAAAAGCAAGATGCGAAATTTTTTTCAGATTAAATCTTTAAAATAAAGAGAAACTGACTCGCATCATTTTGTGGAGTTCCCTGTCGAAGCAAAAAATACCTTAATCCTTCTTCGGATAATGATTTAGAAGCAGTAAATGGATCAACCACATTTCCAATACTTTTTGACATCTAAAACAGTACCTCAAGAAAAAAAAAAAAAAAATGAATAAATGTGACATTAACTGTCAGAAGAACATGCTCAATATTTTGCGATCAGAACATATAAAACAAAGGAACCTTAACTCCATCAACAAGCCAGTGACTGTGAACAAATATCCGCTTCGGAAGAGGCAAATCGAGTGCAAGCAAAAATGCCGGCCAAATAACGGCATGAAACCTTTTTTATAAATTAATATTCAGGAAAAAAAAATGCCACATAAATAGTTCCTTCAATTTAAAAATCAAAGAAATTGAACTCAAAAGCGATAAAAAGTAATACTTTTCATCTCAAATTATATTACTGGAATAAAAACCAGTTAAATTATTACTTTAAAATATCTTTGCCAACGATTTGACATGTTGGAGGCCATATTGAGCTCTTCTTGTTAGAAAAAACACCACTTACTGTTAAATAATTCACTAGTGCATCGAACCAAACATATATCTAAATAAATTATAAAATTCCAACATATAAATGTATGGAAGTACGGTAATCAACTAAATTCAATATTTCCAAAATGAAAAGAATATAAGAAAAAATACTTATAAGTTATACAGTGTGATAATACTACAAAACAAAAGTGACAGAACTACCTTTTATTTTCAATAGAAACTTCAATACAAATGGTAATTCAGTAACTCAAAACTCACCGTTTGACTTTCATCATTTGGTACTGCAATACCCCAAGTGACTCGCTTCCTATCTCTCGATAGCGAAAGATCTCTTTCCACGCTTGCATGCTGAAGTGCTTCCGGAAAATAAACTTTCGGACGTATGACATCTGAAAACTACAGATTATAGCAAAACGTGCTGAACAGTTAAAGTAGAAAAGCTCTTAATGACTTATAGTTCTCTATTAAATTTAAATAACAACCCTTCAAGCTCATCAGTTGATATCTGTTTGAAAAGATGTGCCACATATCAACAAATTACATGATCAAACGGACAGTACCCATTAATTTTACAGAAATAATTACCGCTTGCAAAAAAGCTTATGAAAGGCAACAGAAAAGCAGTGAAAATTAAGTTACGTAAACATCATCTTAAAAAAGATAATTACTCTACAGTGATGATAACTTTTAAACTTACCGCAATTACTAAGCCAGTTTCGTACTGCGCCAAGATATTTGAACAAAGGAAATATATAATTTTCTTCCTGCACCCATTCGACAACAGAACCCGTGCTTTTACTTACCTGAAACATTTCCATCAAAAACAGAAACTAAATTTTATATCTGTAAGAGGTAGATAAAAGCTAACCGTAACAAAAACGGAATCAAAACAATACTGAATTGTTGGCCAATCCATTCATCACTCACAGCTACCTCATTTTTAGTACTCACTAGGCAAAGCAATATCATGGCTGATTTCAATCCGAAAAAAAAAAAAAAAAAAAAAAAAAAAACGAAACAAAAATAAAAAACCAAACTGCAGAAGTCTGTCCATCCAATTTTTCCACTTCATCATTAGCATAGAAGCACTCATCAACGGTTGAATACCAACCTTCATGTTTACCTCGTTGTATCAGTCCTCGTTTATCCAATTCTTTCTATATTTAGCATAACTTTTTCACTCCATAAAAAAAGTTCGGATTGAACTAGACTAAAAATAGTTTGTCTCCTACTTTTTCCCGTTATAACTTGATTCACTTCTGAAGCACTTACACTTATTAATAATCATTTGTGATAAAACACCAGATGGAAACATGTCGAAGAAAATTAAATTATTACCCAAACATGCTTAACAACTTCTTTATGTCGTGTTTCAGTGGTTCGAATAAAGTCATTCGGCTGTATGCCAAAAGCACGAAATAAATCTTTGAATTTGTCGCTAATATCATCACAATAACGTTGTGGATCACAACCAGCTGTAGTGGCAGTCTGCTGGATCTGAAAACATGATTAACAGAATTCACTATTGGATGAAGAATCCAGTCACTAATGTAGTAATAAAAGACTGGAAATTTACTCTCAGTAGATCAGAAAGCTATAAAAGAGAAAAAAAAATTTTTTTTTTACATGGTTAATATAAAACACACTGCCACTATTTCATCTTTTAATCATACTGAATTGAATCTATTTCAAATTTACCTTTAAACCATGTTCATCAGTTCCTGTTGTAAATAACGAATTATTCAAATCAACATCACCACCTTTTAGCAGTTTCCAACGATTCGAAACATCTGCTAACAGCGCAGTATAAAGATGGCCAATGTGTGGGGCTGCAAATTTATGAAAATTAAGCACTAATAAAGAGATCCAAATTAAGTAATTCCATTGCATAATTAGTAAAAAAGAAAAGTACCAAAATCTAAAAGAAGCAATGAAAATAACTAACGTCCATTGGCGTAAAATATTGGGGTAGTTATGAAGTGTTTCAGTCTTACTGAAGTCATCGAAATGCCTTCGATGACACATAAAATTTTGACCCTACCAATCATTAAGTTCAAATATCTGAAATCATAATAAAAGGAAGCGATAAGAATAAGTTTAGTCTTACTTCTACTGCGTTCTATGACAGCCACCGATTCATCTATTTTATCACCAGAGGTATTGAGGAACTTCAATAATTTACAGCAAAAAAGATTAGCCTACCTGTTAAGGTGAAAACACGAAAAAAGATATAGTAAAAGGTGTGATGAAGCGCAAAGAAAAAGTCAGATTTCTAAAGTATTAAGTTTTATTAGTAGAACTGCATCTATTAATGTTATAATACAATGTATTTGTAATATGCAAAGAAATTACAATGTAAGCTTATGTCAAAATAAAAGAAATGAATACTCTAAATTCCAGCAGCTCATTTTTCTATAAATGCCAGCGAAAGAAAAATATTCAGTAGCCATGACACAAACTAAACAACAAAAACTGGTGTAGAAAAGAAAAAATTTAGAAATGGCAAAAGCAGGAGTGCAAATGAAGTTAACTATCCCGCACATCTTAAGAGGAACTAAAATTTCTATAAAACGTTTGCTTTCTAAAGAAATTGCTAAAAATTCTTTAACATAGCAGGGTTTCTATATGATTTAAAGCTTAGAACTGGTTATGTGATTAGGTTTACTTTCTTCTAACAATCTTACATCATCGTAGGTTTCATCATGCAAAAAACCTTGTTCGATTTCCACTAGGGAATGACCTTCATCGATACCACGCTCAATAATGTATTCCTTCATTAGCTTATTTTTGAGGTAAGCAGCGACTTTATCCGGATTTCGTAGTTCTTTGATTTCTAGTGGTTTCTTGGCAAATATCAACTGATATTCTTTGCTTGTCATTCCCTTGATATACTCCATCTGTAATAAGCAGTTATTTAATGCGTTAATTATTATAGAATATTTTTTGTGATTAGTTTTGTTTTGACTAAGACGAGTTTGACATGAAGATCAAACTTTTCCGAATATTTCATACTTGAAACTAGTAATGATAAGAAACTGTCGAAGTCTCAATATGCCAACGTCAACTTGGTAAAGTGAAATTAAGATCCAGTGTATGTACTGACTATCCAAACCTTAATAATTCTGCATATAATCAAAAATCCATCCTTGCGTATCTTTCTTTTAAAAAAAGAATTTTTTTCTTCCAATTCAATGAGCCTATTATAAAAGACAACTCTGAAATCCAAAATTTAGCCAATTTTCTCCGGCAAATCTTACTCTAATATCCTCAAATCCAGCGGGTTCCAGTTCGAAAATATACCGAATTGGATCAAATTGTCGTCGCCTAATTAACTTTCCTTTTTCCAGCAATTCAAGCCTTAAATTAAACGACGACTGCATTATCTTCTTCATGAATAATAAAAACTGGACAGCTAATTTAATTGAAAACTTTCATGATATCATTCCTTACAAGTATAAAAAGATATTAAAAACAAACTTTTTCAAATCCATGCCACATAAGAAGATACCACCGGGTTTCAGCACCCTAATTATCTCAGTTAGTGTTGCTGGCAAATCAGATGCCCAAAAGTATGGTGAATGAACATGAAATATTTTGTCGAAAAAATCATTGTTGAATGGCAAAAGTTTTGCATCGGACACCTAATTAAAGCAAAGAAAAATAAATGTTCTCATGGATAAAGTACACTGTAGCAAATACCAAATGAAAATAGAATAGTAAAAAATCATTCTGAGGAAAAATTACTTGCTTCATTAAAAACAATCCGTTTATCTTCCAATGCATTCTTAGGAAAACGTCCTCGAACCGCTCCAAATAATGATGTCCATCTATCTACAGTGTATATTGTTCCTTTGCCTTCTTTCACACGCTTGTAAGAGCGCAAAACACCTGAGATTACCTGATGAAATTGAAATACTTTGAAATTCATTAACAGAATTGGTAAATATTACAAATCCTCATAAAGAATCTTTTATATTCTAGTGACTTACACGCAGTAGTGAAAATGATGCAAAAAATGAGTTAATAACACAAAAATACACGGAAATATTTTTACTAGCTATGAAAAATGAATGAAAGAAATTTTCTTTTTCATCTTCGAAAAAGACGGAAGAAAAATTCAATAGGCTGAGTGTCATTTTAATTATGCTGAAACAAACCATCGCCAAACCCAATTCCAAGCTCTAGGACTTCATCATTAGGTGATATATTCAATGCGTCAACAACAGCATTCAATAGGAAAGGTGATTTCCAAGCCAATAATCCTGACATGTATAATCCATCAGCTGCGTCATTCGGAGTTGTTAACTGTGAAAAAATAATAATATCACTAAAGTAATGACTGAATATTGTTCATATATTTTATTATATAGCTCTGTTTTGATAATCTCAGTGAGCGAAGTTTCTAGACTAAATATACTTTATAGTGGAGTAATCGAATAATTGATATATATATATTCACATTATATATCTGTAAATGGTTTCACAGAGCATGCTATTATATGCCGAAGTAATACTACTTTCACTATTCATAATCTAACATCATTTAAATACAGACTAATCTGACTGTAAGATGTTACAAAGGTGATATCTAATGCAAGGTAGAAAGTAAAAATTAACTCCAACGTCCTATAACATACTGTATGTACAATTCATTTTACCTTGTGACGGAAAAGTCGAATAATTTTTGTAATGGACGGCATAGTTGTAATAATTTACTTCATATTTATTCTTGAATCTGCAAAATTCTTTCCCAATAAGTGAATAAAAGTGCGAATGTTGAAAAATGACTAATAAGAATAATGAAATCAAGAAAACTTAAAATCTCCAATTAATTGCATACGATTCACAAAACTAGGTTATTCTCAATTAATTCATTCAGTTTAATATTGTGTAATATGGAATAATAGAACTAGCTATTCGAATACAACGCATATCATCGACCCTTCCGTAATGAAAGTAGAACTAAATAAATAAATGTTGCAAAAAATATGTCCCTGTTTTATTTTTATTGGAAATTTATTGAAATCTAAAAACGGAAATACAATAACACATACATAATTAACTACATAATTAATAAAGAAGTACGTATAACTTCTCAATCACAAAAATGTGTGTTCATAATTAGCAAAAACGCTGATGTTTATATGCATGCAACGGTTTCCACTTATTATAACAAACAAAAGAAATAACTCAATGTTTTATCTATAAAACCTTTCGCATCATTATATATGTGTTAAATACTTGCTAAGTCACACGTAGTAACACTTTTAACTGTAACGTACGCATCAAAATCCTTTCCTTCCCTCTTTCACTGGTACTGTCTCTTCCTCTCTCAGAAGTCTTTATCATTCTTTGCTATCTACTCCATTTCAATGCTATTTCTATCTCATTTCTTCTCTCTCCCTCCCTCTCGTAATATTTTGATTTGAAATAATTCAAAATTTCTTAATTTGAAATTTTTTCACAGTGATACCTCATTATCCTTATCTTTTTCACTATTAATTTATTAAAATATTTCACCCTCAATCTTCAACCATAATATTTTTCCCATTCTATCATTTCTCATCGTACTCTCTCATTTCTGTACTCTTTTCTAAATGAATCAAATTATTGTTGCGAATAAATCTTTACATTCGGTAGCAATAGCCTTTGATGTTATTAGTCACGAGCTTTTTGACGTTGGGTTGTGCTAACTTTTCATTTTCTGGGGAACTTTTATTGCTAGGAATAATCAAAATTAAAACTGAGAATTCTAAACTATTTAACATTTATTATATTGGAAAATTGTCTGTTAATGTATTTTCATATTTTCATTCTAATTTAGTTAGTTTATGTGAGGTGAATAAATTTGAAAGTGATGATTTTTGAAATTGAAATAAGTAATCATTAATAAAATTATGGTTTAAGATTGATTGTTTTTTTTTATCTTTGATCAACTTTTTTCCTTATATATTTTGAGGTGTTAAAAGTCATTGCTAGTTATCTTTTTTTTACTGGATATTTTGATGTATTTTGTGTATGCAATAGCAAACAGTTCTCTCTTCACTTTTTCAGATTAAAATTTAAATTTAATTAAAACGAGTTTAATTATACGCTAGGGAAGGTATTTGCAAATGATCGTCGGTTATTGTAATAATACACTTCTTGGCCTCCACATCACTGGTCATGAAATATTAGCACTAACTAACTTAGTAATTAAGTGGTATGTTTTCTCTGTCTCACCTTTTAATTTTTTTTTTTTTTTAAATTATATTTGCATTGTTAATTCTTTCGTAGTTATTGCTGCGTACATGTTTCGTGTTTGTATGGTCCGGCTTGTTTTGTCCATTAATATGAAGTATTTCAGGATGGATAAGATTTTGCAGGTGCTTTAATAACAGTGAAAAATGTCAGTTGGAAGGATAAAAATTGTTAATTGAATGTCAAGAAAAAAGAAAAATGGATGAAAGCGAGGAAATTGATTTCAACAGTAAATCTAAAATTTTCGTCGAAAATAAACGAAGTGATTGCTTCGATACTGGCGAGGAACTTGAAAAGGATTTGAGGAAAACAGCTGGAGATAATGGCGATGTTCGTTTTTTTTGCCTTTTCTCTAACCTAAATAAACTTAGTGGTAGTAAATTCTGTATTTTCTATTATTGTTTAAATTATGTCGTGATCACTGGGAAATAAAGAATTATTTTAATTAAAGCTTTTCCCAGCATTTTCACGTTATTATTAAGATTTACACATAAGATAGGATACGAAAAAAATGTGTGATATGTTGCCAACATTTGGTATAACGTTGTCGAATGTAGTCGGTAATTTGCATCAGACATAAGGTAAAATAATATTTTCATTTTATTCGTAAAAATGTAAAATATAGTGTGATCTACAGTGCGAAAAGCGTGAATCGCCGAAACAAGAATTGGATGCTCACATTCGTCAGCATGCAATACAAAAGCTTTACAACGACCCTTCGTTTGCTGTCATTTGTAGTTTTTTCAACAAGTTCGCTGTCTTCCTGGGTTTAAAACCTCAGTGCTTCGCCAAAATGGAAAACATGTTTACCAGTTTTCACGTTACAGGCAAAGGTTATTTCTTACATTTTTCCCGCATTTTTGCTTACTTGAATGATCAGCTAATAATGCTCGACATGGAACAATATGTTGCATAATATTATTTGTCATATGCATACTTTGACGAACCATACTTGCGTTCATATAAATAGCATTAACGTCATGCAAGAGATGCTTGTTAAAAGATTACTCAGAACAAATTCGAAGAATCAAAGATGTTTCCAGCGAGCAGTAATACTCATTAATGTTGTCTGCTGTGTTATGACATTATTAAGAAATCATTAACTTTGGTTACTTGGAAATATTTTTAGTCGATCGGGATTTGATCGATTTACACCTAATGTTGATGCGAAAATTAACGTTTAAATCAGCGAGATTGGAAGTGTGGGAGAAATATCTTTTGAAATTCTGTTCTCTTGTTCCATCGCTAGAAACGGAGTACTTGCAACTAGAACGATACGGCTATTTGCACACAACTGCAGCTACGAAGCTTGCTATTCTCAAAGCCTTATGTGAAAGTCAATTCGACTTTAATGTAAAATTTAAAGAAAGTGTAAGTTATTCATGCAGATAGAGGGTATATACTCAATTATAACCTGCATATTTCTTTGATTTTTCATATTTGTTGGGTTTAACGACTCCATCTTGTTGTTTTTCAGCTATTAAATTCTTGTGCAGCAAGTGATTTGCGCCTTTTACCTATCGGCTATGACAGAGAAGGCCTTGCTTATCTGTATCAGCAGGATGCTGATTTAGTTATTCGTATATATTCGGCGGAACAGGATGATCATTCGGGTGGCTCGTGGAATCTTGTTGCCAAGTTAGTTTGTTTCAAGTCATTTAGAATTTCTGTTATCAAATTTATCAATTTGATTTTTTGCGATTATAGAGAGTATAATCAAAAACTTTCTGAACATCCTAGACTGAAATGTTGTGTAAAATTTGTCATTAGCAGAACCACTCCATTTAATTGCCATTCTGAATTTAGAGAACTACATACAGTTTTTTTTTTTTTTCCGGATTCTCGAAAAATACTTTTTTTTTTTTTCTACTTTAAACCGCACATTTTCTCTCTGCAAACGTTCGGGGTAGTATCTTATGAATCAAATTTTTATCGTTAGAGAGAACACATCTGAATTACAGTTATGATTTGTCGAACTTTATTGAACTACTTCATGGTTTTTAAGGTGTAAAGAAGAGCTAGAAAATTTGGTTATGGAATTAAAAAATACACTTGCCTCAAAATATCTGTCCAATTTGCTAAAACAACATGAAGGTTTGTAATTTGTCGCTGTTGAAAATTTCATAGATATGCAGTTGTGTTTTATATATATAATTTATTATACCATATTAAAGACGTGCAATTAAGTATATATTAGATCATTAAATATTACAGGATTTGGCTTTTTGTCAGAAATGGAAATTTTTGGTCCTTAGAATTCAGATTGTTTTTGCAATAAAAGCTTTATTTTGAGCATAGATTTTTTAGATTCATCATCAACTCCGGCTGTAACTGAGGCAGACGAACAGACTAATGTTTTATCTATATTTTCAACAAAAAGAGGTGCTTTACTAGACACTTATCAGGACGAATCTGCAGTCAAGGTACACAAAAATACCTGTTTCATCTTCTGTTAATTATTTCATATGTGAATTAAGTTGATATTTTTTTTTTCATATGTGAATTAAGTTGATTTTATAGAAAAAAGTGGTGAAGCCAAGTCAAAGGAAAAAAGTAGCTGTTGAAGAAGAATCAAAAAAAGAAAATAGTGCGCCACCAGTAGAAATCATAGAAGACATACCCGACGAAGTGAAACCATTTGTATGTTTACTTTTTGTTTGAATTTTGAATGCCTTTCATTTTGATGTGTCAAAGATGTGGTTCTGTACTACTGGTTTGTAATGAATATCTGATTTTAAACTTTAAAAATTTGTATTTTTAGCTCGATCGTCGAGTATTACCGCGCAGAAGTGCCCGCAGTGCTGCAATAAATCAATTGAAGGAGTTAACTGCTCCGCTGAAACCTCAGAGCGGGAGAAGGAAAAATCAGCAAAACAAGAAACAAATGGAAGTAGAAAATACAAAACAACTGAAAATCCTTGATAAAAATGTAATTTAGATTGACTCTTTAAAAAACATTTTTTTTTTTCGTTAATAGAATATGTTATCTGGAGGTAATGAAACTAATATTTCAGGATGATCAGGATGAGAGCGAAGATAATGACGAAAATGAAAAGGATGACAATGATGGCGATGATTTCATATTAGCAGAAACATCCACCTCTTCTGATGATGAATTCATGCCGCTTTCCGAACTGAAAAAGAGGAACCAAAAGTAATTTTATTTAAGCTCACGCTTGGATGTAATCTTTTGATTTATTAATTGCTACAAAGATCATATGGTAAAAATGGTACTACAACCAACTTGCAGCTCAAGACGTCGTCGGGGAAGAAAAGCAGTTGTGGAAAAAGATCCCTTTGAAATAGTAGAATCGGAAGAAGATGAAGATAGTGATGATGATCAAGAAAAGAAAGCCAAGAAAGAGCGGAAAAAAGCTACGGAAGAAACACTCTGCATGAAATGCAGTAAAAGCTCAAACCCAGAAGTGGTATTGTTTTCGATCTGTTTTTGTCTTTTATTCGTAGAATGTGCAGATGAATTAAGGAGTTTTTAAGAAATACTGACCCATAATTGAAGCCTTTTATAAATCTGAGATATTCAACCGGAATGTTTCATTTTATTTGAATACAGGAGCATGTTAATAGCTAACAAAACATGAGAAGAAACATTTTTAGAATTGTTAGTATAGCTAAAAGAATAATGGATTATTTAAGAGATTAAAGAAAAGATTCGATGTGTGGTATCATAGGTTCCCTTTAGTCACTTTGTAATTTGCATCACTGAAAGTCAAATGATGTTATGAAATCGTGCATTTTAAACACCTTCTAGTTGTTGCTATGTGATTTATGCGATGAAGCTTGGCATACCTGGTGCCTACATCCAATATTATGGTATGTACCAGACGATGACTGGTTCTGTCCAAATTGTCAGCAGGCGATGCTAATTGAAAAATTTTCTAAAGTACTTGCTGTACTTGCTGAGCAAGTGAAGCGCAAAGCTGCTGAAGACAAAAAGTTGCTTTTTTTCATTTTTTTTTTTTTTAAACTCTTTTTTGCTTTCTTTTTTTTTTTTTTTCTTTTTGAAAATTTCATGGAGAGAAAAGTTAGAATAAGACGGTACAGTAAACCAGTGTTGATTATTAGCTAGAATCCTTAGTATCATTGTTTTGACTTAGGAAAGAAGCAGCTGCAGAGAGATTGAAACGCGAGATGGAGTATATTGGGGCATCTTTAAATAACATCATTGATACGGTAAACTTTTATTTTTTTCCCATTTTATAAACATATCATTTATACGATTTATGCGCAGATAAATTCCTTTAAATTTTGAAGTAGAAGTTTTGTTTAAAGTTTTTTTGGTTATTGGTTGCTTTTGTTTTAGTAAGCGAATTAGTCTTTAACGTATAATACACAACAAGCAGTGGTCTTAAGTCACTGTGGGATCTGAAATGATGGAATTGATGAAGTCTTGAAATGCAGTTATCCAAGTGCGCAAGGTTATTATTATTATAAATTGAATATATTAACTTCCAGGTAAGAGATGCGAAAATGGAAAGTTCTGAATCATCGGAAGAATCAGGCGAAGATGATGGTGAACGAAAATCAAAAAAGAAAGCAATTCGGTAAGTTTACATATCAGTTCTTTTCTTTTTTACAACTTATGTTTATTCTTTAGGCGTCTTGGTGTCTATCCACAGAAACCGATTATTCCGATTGCACTTTCACGATCAAGACGCCAAGTTGCTAAAGTTGATTATAAATTTGGTGCATACGATGAATTAATCCAGGTATATAAGAGATTTTTTTTTCCTTTGCTTTCTAGTTGATTTCAGTGCTAATATGTGTCGCTATTAGGGACAATGAATATTTCAAAACATTTTGAGTGAAAAAAAAAAGATATCTCTTTTGTAGGAGGCGGTGAAAAATATAGATGAATCGGCAGCAAGGCAAATGAGTCCAGGCATGTCTTCATTTTCCTTTTTATTGTAATGAAGTTCGAGTTTTATTTGATGGCTTAAAAATGTATATGTAAATTTATAGGTAATATACGACCAAAAGGTGGAGCTGGACGGGGTAAAGATATGTCAAACATCATAAATGCTGAAAATAAGCGGATCCCAACAAATGTGGAGGATAGTTATCACAATGATGGCCTCGAAGGGTTCGAGTTTTGAATTGATTAAAAAGATTTAAACATCAGATTTAGATCTCATACCTGGATGGTTATCAGTCAAATAAATTTTACAGTTGTTCCGCTTCCTTTGCGAATTTGTATGACGAAATGATGATGGGAAGGCTTTGTTTACTAATACTGATAGTAATGGATTTTCTAATGTGAAGGGATGATCTTTGACGAAAATGATATGGGAGATAAAGTTTGCTTTTTATTATATAAATTTTATTAAAGCCATTTGAGAATGCAATCAAAAATTGGAAAACCAACCAAAAGTCGTCATCGATTGAATGATCTAAATGTTGATGAAATAACTGAATCGGATACTGACGAATATCAAGGGAGCGAGTAAGAATTTTCATGCATATTTGTTTGATCTTATATGTACGGAATACCATGAGAATGTCTTTTTTTTTGAGAAATTTGCTATTGTTTTTGCTTCGTACATTTTTGCTATTGCATTTTGCTTATAATTTCTTGCCCATTAGTGCTTTTTATTTTAAATGCTGAATGATGAGGAATAACCATAGTTTTTAGAACTGGATACAACTGTAAAAGGTAGTTTCATATTAAAAAATTTACCAGTTATCAAAATATTCAAAAAATAATCTGGAGTTTATTATTGTAACTAACCCAGCGTCTATTTGCTAAAATGCTTTCATCCAAAAAGTGTCCGTAAAAATACATTTTGAATAATAATTTAATACAATTTGTTTAATGATCGTTGCATTAATATATTCTAATATATCATGTTAACCATTAGGAATTAGGAATGAAAGGAATGTGAATTTCACAAATGATTATTAAATCGCTGCATAAGTAATTAGTATTATCCTTCATTCTTGAAAAATTTTTAAGCAGACAGAAACTATTGGATAAAAATTTCTATTAATGTTTTACATGATGGAGAACTTTTTTCGCTCTCTTTTTAGTAGCAGTTTCTTTTCAGCAGTGCTTCAGTTTCGGATCCTTCAGATGACACCGATGAATACTTACCATCGGATGCTTCGCGTACAAGGAAGTATTATTTTTATTAATTTGCTCTGATTTCGGGTTTTTTACTTGATGTTATCATTTTTCAATTTAATATTTTGACAGTATGTATTTTTCAGAACGTCCAAGCGAAACTATTCTAATAAACGAACTCAAAGCGATGATGATTTTGTCGTTTCCGGTTCCGAAAGTGAGTATGAACCATTAAGAAAAAAATCCTACAGGCCAAAGAATACAAAAAAGATAAAAGGGAAGAGAAAACTTGAAAAATGGTTGGTTTCTTTAAGATTTACAGTATGTAAGTCGAAATAAAATATTTTGAAATATTCAGATATGGTCTTTATCTGTTTAAGTCGATTACCTAATATTTTAGTAAGGAACCCTGTTGTGCGGTGTATGAGATGGTTTCATTTATCTATGCGATTATTTAAGGTGCTAAATAATGTTTATCGCTATTTCTTTGATAACGCTCACAACTTTTTGTAGGACATCCTCTGATGAAGATTCCACTTCTGAACTGAGCGACAATTATCGTAGTGAAGAAAGTAGTAGTAGTGTGGGCAGACGCGCAAAGCGACGCGCTATTACCAAATGGGCACCACCTGCAAGCAGTTCTGATGCGGAAGATTCAAATCATTCGATACAAAAGACTGCTGCTGGAAGGTATTATCATTTTTCTGAAAAATATTACCGAAGTAATTAATAGTGCTTAAAGCGCGATTGTATTTAAAAACTATTGTTGCTTGAATATATTCCATTTAAATTGCGGAGTTTTTAGACCGTTAAGGAAGGCAGTGGCGAAAAGACCGAGTTTAACAATGGATAATGATGACGATGAGGAAGGAGAAGATGAAGAGGCGGAAGAAAGACTTAAAGATGTTCGTCCGGTCGGTTTAGGACGAAAAATCGAGAGGTAGGAAGTAGAGGAAAGTGCTTCACTGGTGTTAGTTAATTTAGCTCATTAGTTTAATATTGGTCAAAGAAGATCTTCATGAGTTGATTTTGGGTTTGTAATTTAACTGCAAACTCTATTTCCCTTTTACTGGTGTAGGCTTTTTAATTTGCGAAGTTGAATGTGTTGCAGTTCTGATGAATTTGAGCCAGATGAAGAGGAAGAAGAGGAAGCGGATGAGGAAGAAACTGTTGATGATGAAGAGACAGAGGACAAGGAGGAGTCGACAGTTGATGATGAGAGGCAAAACCAAAGTGATGAAGAAACTGTGGAAGGAAAAGGAAGAAAAACAGTGAAAGTTGAAAATGGTAAGTATTGCATTAAATATTCGTTCTTTTATTTTTAGAATTTATCTTCTCAAAAAATGATTTTCATCTCGTTATCCGATCGAGCATGTTACAATTATGTCTTGAACTTACTGTTTAGATATCGATCTTATGAGAGTTGTCACGTTCAGTTCAACTAAGACTTTGTCTGCTGATGATGGTGAGAAACAGGCAGAAGATGCGGATGATGCATATCCATCAACTTCGAATGATGTAAAGATTAAGGTGTAAGATAGATATAGCTATCAGTTCAACGTTGTAGAAGTAATGTAAATCAGTTTTTTATCCATGGATTTAAGTAAACAATAGTGAAATCTTTTCGCGTGACTGAATCATATCGTATAAACATATTGCAGCTTATTGATGAAGTAGCTCGGAAGGTAAAGTCGGAGCAAATGGATCAGGAGGTTTGTATAATGATTTTCATCTCGTTACTTCTATTATTTTTTTTCTTGTATTCTTTTGATTGGAAATTTGTTTCAAATAAAAGTTTGTTTTAAAAGTTTTTTGACGAACATGATTTAGATATTTTATAACGAAAGTACGAAAACAGATGTTAAAAACGTAGAAATAAAAACGGCAGAAAAAGCAGTAGTTACAAATGTGGCAACTACGAGTTCGAATGTAACTCCATGTGTTCCACCTTCATGGTACGTGCCAGTTTTTTTTTTTTTTTTTCTATTCTAGGTACTAATCAATCAAGCTATAGATTAAGAATGCATCTGCCGCTGTTTCTTTTTTATTGCTAAATTATGGATTAGGTCTTGTAAGTTAAATATGGCATAAAATAGTCAAGGCATACATGCTTGAATAGATTGTTCGATGTGTACTATTTTTTTTTTTTTTTTTTTCATATCAATGCAGAGAAATGTGAAGTGCTTTAATTTTCTTCCTGCTAGAGCTAATAAAATGACTATTTTGAAAACTTTTTGCACATGAATGATAATTATTAAAGTTGTATAGGATTTTAATATATCTAGCATAGTTATTTGCAGTTTTCCATCAACCTCAGCAGATCTCTCATCACTGAATCCATCGTCGGTGATGCAGCAGATGGCTCGACTTGCATCATCGTCAGCTGCACCAATGCAACAAATTGATCCCTCAAGTATTGCATATCGAGATATGCTGCAAACTACACCTCCTACATTCATCGCTAATGGGACTCCATTACACTTCTATTCAGGTATATTTTAAGGCACATTTAATCGCTAGAGATTTCAGTTACAAGATTGTTTTGCGTATTTATTGGGTAAACCGCCCAATGATTATATATCAGTCATCTTTCCGACAATGACGCAACTGTATGTTGCCCAATGGGATATCCAAAAGATTTGCATGTTAACAGTCAGTGTGTTTTTCTTAGCCTGTTCAGTTTTTCAATGGATGATTTTTTTTTTTTTTCAAAATACTTTCCTACTATGATGTAGTTTATTCAAATGCGAACATATGGCTCAAAAATAGATATTCATGAGTTCTTGAATTTCTATTGCTTTCCCAAGTTTTTTAAAGGCTTTTTCAGGCCCGGCTCCTGTTACCGTTTATCAAGTGCAACAGCCGCCGTTTGTAAGGACTCCCACAGGCATGGTTCCATCCAACATTGAACCATTGCCGCAGTCATGGCCTCCTTATCCACCTCCAAATTTTTTCCCCGCAAAGTTGGTTTTTTTTTTTCTCTATTTTTCACTTTTTAAAAAAAAAAAAATATTGTTCACTGGAAGAACTCAGATTCATAATATTTGATGTGTTTTAGTGCAGCAGCGCCACCATTGGTCACTGCCACGACAACTTCGTCACCAACGACAGATTCTGAAACACTTGGAAACGTTCTTGCTTCCGCAATGGATTACTGATTTATTTTGCGAATCAGTTTCTTATTGTATAGGTTGAATCAGTCACTCGGCTTTATATTTTTTCTTTTTTTTGGTATTTCATATTTTCGCTAGTTTTTTTTTTTTTCTTTTTCTTTTTTTTTTGAGAATATATTTGTAACTTGTTCGTAACTTAAGAAGCTGGTTATTTTGAAAAAAAAAAAAAAAAACTGCTCAAATAATACGTCCTTGATTTCCCGAAAAATTTGAGTAAGCGAAATGTAGTGAATTTTGAAAAACAAGAATTCGGAGATTCAGTGGTATTTTTTATTTGTGTTTTGTTGTTGTGACATATAATGGATTATTTTTCCTTAGTTATATTTTCTTTTCTAAAAGAATTAGCATCCCAGTGGCTTGAATGAGAAGAATTTAATTCAGTTTTATATTTTCAGCGATATGCTTTAAAATTCTAAAGATTTGCATTTCTTGATCATATTGTTTGTTTATTGTCTCGCGGTGATTAAAGGTACGTAGCTAGCTATGAAGAGTTCATTTGCACTACGGGTATATCAGTTCTACATCCCATTTTGAAACTTAGGTGTTGAAAAGAATAAATTCCATGAATGAGATGGTGTTGTGGAATTAATTTTCTGTTTTATTTCGAGTAATTTGAAAATCTAGCATTTATTTAAAAACGAAACTAAAGAGTAAAGATACTTTTTCGGTACCTTGCGCAGATTACTGAACTTCAAGAAAAGTAAAACTTCGTTTAAATGTGATTTCGAAGAACTTATAATCACCATAGTTTTACATATCTTCCTTTTTCTTTTTTAATTTTTTTGCATGATATAATCTCATTGTATTATTGTCTTCTGCAACTCACTTGTTCATTTTCGTCTTTGTTTTATATTCAACGACTGAAAGGTAAACAATATTCTGAAATGTGCTTGTCCATCCACTCATCATTTTGAAAGCAAATTTCTCGTAAATTGTATGATTGTCCTTGAAATTTCTGTTTTTTGGATTTTTCTAATTTACCATGGTTCGTTTACTTCGTGAAGCATTATGTCACTTTTTAATGAATTTGCTTTCTATTGTATTTTTAAAATTTACAATTATATGTTTTACTTTATAATCTTATAATATCCTGTAACTAAGTCATCGCAATGATGTGACCGCTTTAAAAACCATTTTGCCTGTTTTACTTTTATTTTTAAACAGAGCACTGTTTTTAACCTAAGGGAGCCTGAATCATCAATCATCTGAGAATCTAAGACAATTTAATCAGAAGCAATCATTTTTTGTTTCATTCATTTTATTTTATTTTTTTTCATTTTTTTATATGTGATTAATGAAGCATTAATTTAGAGAATGATAATAATTCGATGTTAAATTCACCAGTAGGAGTGTTTTTTTTTTTTTTGTTTTGTTTTGTTTGTGAAATTCTAGCTATCTCAATGCATCCGCGTTTCTTGTTTTTATTTTCATCTCATTTTGCATTTTTTACAATTCAAATGCTGAATTTTTCATTGTTTCTGATACTCATATGTGGAATTCACATTTCATATAAAATCTTTCTAGTGAAAAGAAATGAAAAGAAGAGAATTCTTTTTTCTTCACATTCAGGATTTCAAGGATTGTGTTGTTTACAACTAAGTTGTGAAACTCGTTATCTGTTTCTTTTACATGTATATAACAACTTTCGTATATTAAGCAAACATGTCATTTTTTCTTCCTTTTTCATCTCATTTTACATCTTTCAATAAAGAATGAAGGGAAGCAAAAAAACTTTTATAATGTGTAATAATGCAGAACATTAATTCCATTTTAAATCTTTGAAAGTTTTAACAGATTTTTTGAAATGGGTGATTGCATGATCGTATTCATTATATAAAAATGCGGCAAAAAAGAATATGTAAATGTTTTTGTAAATATTAACGAAAAGCTGGGGAGAAGTCCTGCATATAAGCAATTTACACAAGTATTTTTGTTCTCATTTCCGGAAGAGTAGGATAAACTCTTGGTGGATTATGAAAAATTTTTTAAATGATTTCAACTGTTTATAGATTCAAACTGCTTGCTATTCCTGAAATGAATTTTCTGGCACGGAGCGATAGTTGAAGTACATAAAATCAATCAAAAATTTTTTTATTAGTATGAAAGTGAAAAGAATACGATATAATAGGTGGAATAAATTTATGATTTTCATTTCTGTGGTAAATAAATCGATGACTATTTACTAAAATTTAATAATAACGAACTAATCAATAAATGAATATGTTGGTTGGTGATAATTGTTAAATAATGGTAAATACTAATTATTATCTTTCTAATCTATTATATAATAACATTCTAATAATTTTTTTTTTTTTTTTTCGTTTATTGTATTTGTATGTCATCGTCAACAACAATAGCGACAATAATTATCATGTCATTATTACCATTCTATTGGATGAATCAATTCATTACCATCAATGCCAGTATTTGAAATGTGAAGATAAAAATTCTTTCTCTAAAATGAAACAGGAAATTGATTATACTTGAAAGAAAATAACCGGTTATCAAGCAATAATGCATTTATCATTCACCATTATTCAATTCTATTTTATTCTATTATCAGCTCTGATGTTATTTCCCTCTCTCTCTGTCTCTCCCTTTTTCATTTATAAGTGTAATTTTACAGTCCATTTTTAGACGACTAAATTTGTTTGTTAAATACTGTGACGATAATTTAATGGATTAGTTTAAGTGATTGTATTTTAATTAATTTCATTTCTTTCCTTCATTACATAATTTACCATTCATTAATTAAGTTAAAAGTTAAAAAAAATAGAATAAGAAGTGTCATTCGTTGTCGATTTTTTCATCTCATATTGTGTTAATAAGCATATAGCAATTTTATTAAATTAATTTTTTATTTTATTAAAATTTTTTATAACACTGGTTAATACATGTTGAAATTTTTCCAAAAAAAAAAAAAAAAAAAAAAAAAAAAAAAAAAGGAAAAAAAGGAAAAAAATATCCATTAGAAGTTACTTATTTATTTTTCACTTATCGAAATAAATTATTTGAAAAAAAATGGTGTTTTTAGGTCAAAATTTTAGATTTCAATTAGATTTCCATGTCTGCTAAAACTCAATTCAACAATTCCACATCTGAAAATAGCAATTGTCGTGAGTTTATCTTTTCTCTTATTCTTTCTTTTCGTGTTCTCGCTTTGCATTTCAAATTATTAATTCAACAATTAAGTTCATCTCATATTGGCAGCATATATTTCATATATCATTATATAGATAGATAGATAGATAGGTATCAAAGACAGTAAAATTTAATTGAATCATTTCGATTTTTTAGATAGCAAGATTTAATTGGATGTCTTTAAATAATAAAATTTAATTGGACCTCTTCGATTTGCAAATTTCTCCTAATGCAATATATTTTCGAAAAATTTGAAAAATTTAATGTATTGGTTTCATTAATTTTACATATAAATATCCATATTTATTAATCTTAGGTTAATTTTCTTGACCTTTTTTTTAGGTGTTTTAGTAACAGGTGCATCTGGTTACCTTGCTATGCACTGCATTCAGCAACTACTGCAACGTGGTTATAAAGTACGTGGAACACTTCGAGATTTAAACTGTCCTGAAAAGGTTAATCCATTACGACAATTAGCAAATGGTGATCAACTGGAACTTTATCATATTACTCTCGAAGATGGTGCAGATCTGTGGCAAAAGTACATTTACCATTTTGATAAAAATATTGATAATAATTAGTAATAATAATAATAAAATGATAGGTTTAAAAAAGATGCATTGATTTCAAACGACAATTTATTCTTTCATAATAGGTTATAATAAATTAAAATGATTTATTGTACTAAATTATTTATTATTGCATTGCTTTCTACTGTTATCTCTTTGAAAAAAACAGAAAAGAAGGGAAGTTTCATTTGAAAGTGATAAATTATTCATTTTTTGTTTTATTTCTTAATGATATCTATAATGATAAATTTGATAATATTTGTATTGTTTTAGAGCAATGATTGATTGTACATATGTGTTACACATTGCAAGTCCATGTGAAGTGATAACAGATGAAGCAATTATTGAAATAGCAGTTTATGGTACTTTAAATGTTCTTCGTGGTGCATCACAACAACACTGTGTACGGAAAATTGTACTTACTAGTTCATCTGGCGCAATTAATTTTAAGTTTTTTTTTTATCTTTAATTTTAATAATTTTATTTTTTTGAAATGAAACAAAACATGCGTATTTATAGCACGAATATTATATGCTTTACTCATTACATCTATATCAATTATTAATACATTTTATCACTTAATTTATCACGAAATTAAGCTAATGCTGGTAATTAATAATTGGTGGAACTTTATCTTAAGGTTTTGTTTTTTGTTTTTTTTTTTTTTGTATTCATTTTAAAATTATTTTGAAACAATATTTTATGCTATTTTAAAAATTAAATCTTAAATAAGTATTTAATAATGCATTGTAGAAACTTTACATTTCAGTAGGATATGAAAGTCATAACAAACTTTTCACTGAGAATGATTGGACAAATTTAAGTTGGAAACACTTACATCCTTATCACAAAAGTAAAACATTAGCTGAGAAAGCAGCTTGGAGTTTTATGGAAAAAAATCCAGGTATGTTTGCATTTAATATAAAACAAATTTCAAATCAAAATTTTAAATTGCAGAACCAAAAAAGAAAAAAAAGACAGATTATTAACTAAACGAGATTATTTTCTTGAACGAAATGAATTTTATATAAAATTCTATGCATAAAATATCATATATTTCTATTCTAATTGTTCTAAAAAATATTAAAAATTTTCAAACTATTGTCATTTTTTTTTATCTTTTCCATTTTCACAATTTTTCCAGTTATTTAAATTTATAATTCAAACAAATATTATTCATTACAGATGTATCATTTTCATTAACAGTTTTAAATCCTTCTTTAATTGTTGGACCATCATTACAAAATGCTAAAGGGTCAAGCATTATGGTATGTTTAATTTAATCAAATATACAAAATAATATAATAATTAAAATAATGTATATTGAAATGATAAAATTTTATCTCATTGATCGAATAAAATCATAAATAATACTTTCTTTAAAAAAATAAACTAAATATTATAAATTTTATTTATTTTATCTCATAAAAAATCAATAACAGAATTAAGTATGAAGTAATAAAATAACAAAAATATTTAGTGCTTATTAAAATAATAAAATTTTGTTTCATTAATCTAATATAATCATAAATATTAATTAGTGAGCTGTAATGTAATGATTCTTAAGTATTAGCCAATTTATATTTAAATTATCATTTTATTAGCAATTATAGATTATAAGTCGTTTCATGGATGGTTCAATGCTAGCTTATCCATTAATGAAATTTGGTTTAATTGATGTTCGCGATGCGGCTCGAGCGCATATTTTAGCAATGAAAGAAACAAAATGTAATGGACAACGAATTCTTATCACCGCTGAAACATTATCTTTTCAACAAATTGCTAATATTTTACGAGAAGAATTTGCTGATAAAGGTGAAATGTTTTTTTTATTTGAATTAATGGAAAAATTTTAATTAATATTAAATTTTCATGATATAATTTAAAGGAATTTATTGATTAATATTAAATTTGCATGGTATAATTTAAAGAAATTTATTGTTTTGTTAGTTTTTTTTCTTTTCTTTTCGTTAGTTATTGTCATTACTGATAGTAAATGTAAAAAGGGCAGACGAAATACGTGAACTTGTACGTGAGCCTTAATTTTTTTTTTTTTTCTTTACTTGATTTATTATTTGCTGAATTGTAACAAAATTTATATCCCTATATATTTCAAATAGCAGAAGATGAAACAGATTACTGATAACGATGAAAACTTTATTTTAGGTTATCGTATTCCACGTTTTAAAGCACCCTATGTAGCTCTGTGGTTTTATTCTTTAATAGATAAGGTAGCATTGCAAGCTTTATCATTATATGGACATGAAGATAATTTTGATAATTCTAAAGTAAGTTTCTGAAAGATTTCCTAATTGCATGTTTAGTTAATTGTTTTTTACATTATCTAAAATAATATTAACATTTTTGAATAGCAATAAATAATTTGAAAAATGTTATCACAATTTCATTATCAATAATTAATAGTAATATTTGGCAAATTGCATTAAAATTTGTATCAGTTTGGTTATTAACTTTTTTACGTTAATTTTAGGCATCTCAATTATTAGGTATGTCATATCAAAATGTGAGAAAGTCACTGTTAGAAATGGCTTATGATATGATTGAACGAAATATTTTACCAAGAATGAAGAATGTGGAAGAGAGAAAGCGGCTAATTTAATAAGCAAGGGTCAGTTGGAAATTCAATGTGGTTTAATTCCGATCGTATGATTATTATCATTTAGAACAGTATTGTTGACAGTATCATCGCTAGTACTATTGCTGTTATTATTATTATTATTATTATTATTATTATTGTTATTATTATTATTATTATTATTATTATTGTTATTATTGTTATTATTATTATTATTATCATTATTATTATTATTATTATTATTATTATTATTATTATTATTATTATTATTATTATTATTATTATTATTATTATTATTAATTATTATTATTATTATTATTATTATTATTATTATTAATTATTATTATTATTATTATTTTATTATTATTATTATTATTATTATTATTAATTATTATTATTATTATTAATTATTATTATTATTATTAATTATTATTATTATTATTATTATTAATTATTATTATTATTATTAATTATTATTATTATTATTAATTATTATTATTATTATTAATTATTATTATTATTATTAATTATTATTATTATTATTAATTATTATTATTATTATTAATTATTATTATTATTATTAATTATTATTATTATTATTAATTATTATTATTATTATTAATTATTATTATTATTATTAATTATTATTATTATTATTATTATTATTATTATTATTATTATTATTATTATTATTATTATTATTATTATTATTATTATTATTATTATTATTATTATTATTATTATTATTATTATTATTATTATTAATTATTATTATTATTATTATTATTATTATTATTATTATTATTATTATTATTATTATTATTATTATTATTATTATTATTATTATTATTATTAATTATTATTATTATTATTATTATTATTATTATTATTAATTATTATTATTATTATTAATTATTATTATTATTATTAATTATTATTATTATTATTAATTATTATTATTATTATTAATTATTATTATTATTATTAATTATTATTATTATTATTAATTATTATTATTATTATTAATTATTATTATTATTATTAATTATTATTATTATTAATAATTATTATTATTATTATTATTATTATTATTATTATTATTATTATTATTATTATTATTATTATTATTATTATTATTATTATTATTATTATTATTATTATTATTATTATTATTATTATTATTATTATTATTATTATTATTATTAATTATTATTATTATTAATTATTATTATTATTAATTATTATTATTATTATTATTATTATTATTATTAATTATTATTATTATTATTAATTATTATTATTATTATTAATTATTATTATTATTATTAATTATTATTATTATTATTAATTATTATTATTATTATTATTATTATTATTATTATTAATTAATTATTATTATTAATTATTATTATTATTATTATTATTAATTATTATTAATTATTATTATTATTATTAATTATTATTATTATTATTATTATTATTATTTATTATTAATTATTATTAATTATTATTATTAATTATTATTATTAATTATTATTAATTATTTATTATTATTATTATTAATTATATTATTATTATTATTATTATTATTATTATTATTATTATTATTATTATTATTATTATTATTATTATATTATTATTATTATTATTATTATTATTATTATTATTATTATTATTATTATTATTATATTATTATTATTATTATTATTATTATTATTATTATTATTATTATTATTATTATTATTATTATTATTATTATTATTATTATTATTATTATTATTATTATTATTATTATTATTAATTATTATTATTATTTTATTATTATTATTAATTATTAATTATTATTATTATTATTATTATTATTATTATTATTATTATTATTAATTATTATTATTATTATTAGCATTAGTATTTTGATAGAAAGTTTCAAATTTTATATAAATTTTGTATGCGAAATGATGTTTTAAGAATATGGCTATGTATAAATTATAACTATATATAAATCAGATATTGTTATATCAATAAATGCTAAAAAAAATCAGTCAATCTAAAATATCAGTGTAAAGCTTTTATAATAATAAAATTAATGTAAATTTCAAAAGAAAAAGCTAAGTGAATCAATCAGAATATTAAAACGAATAAATGAATACATTTTGTAAGACAAATCTTCATTCATTCAGTCTTTTTTCCGTTCTCTTTCTTTTTTCGATATATAAATTATTCATTTTCTAAGTAAATGATTTATTTATTCCATATAAATAATTGTAGCAGCATAAATAAACTAATATTAAAGTTAGAACTTGCAATTATCCATGTAAAAATCGGAAAAAAAATTTTTTTTATTTTTTTTAAATTAATACTGTAACTGGAAAATGTTATCATTCTTTGTTCAAAATAACCACGCATATATTGTTTCTACATTTATTAAAAAAAAAAAAAAAAATTGAAGTTGTTGCAGATCTAAACATATATAAGTTAATTAAGATATTTCTTAGTGAAATATCTTAATTAATATCACAACTAAATGATAAATATCCTCGGTGCTTTAAACTTTTAAGGACGCTAATATTTATTTTTCGTTGACGACTTTCTGATTTGATTATTTATCCTGAAAAGTTTCCTATTGAAATTGATTAAATTCAGAAAATGTTCGTAAACGAATAATGTTTGTTTATTGATAATTTTAATCAACAATCGTTTATTCATTTTTTTCTTTATCTACAAAAAAGAAAAGGCAAAACATGCGATAAATCTAATTTCATTAAAGGCTTCAGAAGCTAATCTTAAAGATAAATAGCAAATTTTCTTATGTGTGTTAATATTTTTGATATGATGACATAGGTTTTAGTGTAATTCAAATGATTTTGTAAAAAAAAAAATGATTATGCAAATCAAATTATTTTTAAAATGTAAGAGTGAGATTAAAATACCGCAAGTAAATGTACAATGATCTCATTTATTACTAAATTTTCATTTATTTGCAATTAAAAGTTATAGATTTTTAGCCTAATCAGTATGGTTATGTAAAATAATTGAGAAATTGATCAGATGAATTTTTAAAATTAAAACATGAGTAGCTCAACTTAAAAATGTAATGAATTGTAAGTAGAAGCATGAGACGCAGAAGATAATGTCAATTTCCTGTAAAAAATTTTTTTTTTTAAGTTATAGATAACATAGTTAAATTGCACCTATGATATGATTGACATTCTGCTTGAAACAAAGAAAAGAGAAAGTGAGAAATAAGCTTAAGTAAATATTAAGAAAAAATAAGTAGTAAATAAGTAAATATCAACTATAGTTATATTTGGTAAAAAAAAAAGTGAAATATCAATCGTAGTTATATTCGATAAAAGAAATTCCTGATATTTTTCTTTTTTTAAATTTCGCTCTCTCTCATATTTTACTTTGAATTAAGGATGGCAGAAATTATTGGAAATTTTCATTTTTTTTTTCATCCCTTTTTTAGTTTTCAATACTGTTTTGTAAACTATTCCCTTTTCAATCTGTTTTAATTTCTCAACAATGTTAATTTTTCAATAGCTAATTTCTTTCATATTGTTTACAAAATTAGTTTATTCGAATCTTTCACTCAATAATATCATATTTTCAAATAATTCAATGTGAAAATCATTACAAATAATATTAGCAATTGATTAATTAATTTGTCACTTTTCAATTCGCTTTTTTTCTCTAATTTAAGGAATAAATAATAGATTAGCAGGAAAAATTTAATATCATATAGTCGCTTCTAAATTATTTATCACTAAAGAGATAATTCACTAGCAATTCTACTTTTTTCCTTTTTTTTTCTTTAGATTTAGAAACGTGAAAAATTTTGAATTTGATTACAATTAAAAATATGGTTGATGTTTTCGAAATTAGAATTAATCAAACGAATTTAATAATATTTGCAGAGATTAAATATATGTGATCAAAAAGTACAATTTATGGGGAGAAAAGGAAATGATCAAACAAGCTGATCAAATGATGGAAATAATGGAAATTGTGAAGAATGCGAAGGTACAGATTGTTGAAGCGCAAATTGCTGTGCTGAAGGCATTTGTTGTTCATATAGCAATGATTGCGCATGATGTTGTTGTTGTGGTTGCATTTGTGAATATGATTCATATATTGATGGGTACAGTTGCGCTTCTTGTTGCTGTATGAAAGATTGTTGAGGTACATATCGTATGTTTTGAATAGATGAAGCATCCAAATATTGATTGCTATCAAGTGGCATCATTGATTGTTGTTGTTGATTTGTTGAAGTAAATTGTGTTACGGTAGATGTGAAGTCTTTAATTGGTGAAATAGATAGACCAGAACGATGTAAAGTTTCTGCAAAAAAAAAGTATTAAAATTTTACAATATTATTATTTATTAATACAATTAATCTAATCTGAAAAAAATAAATTTATGTTTAAAATTAAATTTGTAATGACTAAAATTGAATCTCTAAGCATAAATTATATTCAAACATTTAGCAATTAATAAAAATCTTTTCATTCAAATTTTGGTTTCATTTTTGAGCATAAAAATTTATTAAAGGAGTTTAAATTATTTTTTCATTTCTTAGACTAATAAATGTTATACCTGAGGATAGTTTTGTTTTGTTAAATTGTTTTGTAGAATCAATTGATGTGATGATTCTATCATCAAACTGCTGCAAAAATAATGCATTTTCACTTTCCAAAATTAGTCGAAATAAAACGACAAAAATCTAGAAATATTGGTTTAAAAAAATTTTTTTTAATTATTTATTTTCAAAAATTAACAGATTCTCTCTCAAAATTCACTTCGTTGTAATAAAACTATTATCAACTGGTGATTAATGATAACCTGTGACGTAAATTGTTTAGAATTTGTTTCAGGTTGTCTATTCGTTTCATAATTTCTTGTCATTCTATCCATAATATACGGAAGAGTATTTTCTTCTACTAAAAAATTTGAAATTTAAACAAATAATTGTTATTATCGATGCATTCATTTTATGTGCTTATCATTATTATTATCAAAATACATATGCTATATTCAAAAAATTAATTATTCTCTGATGACTATTTTTAATTAAATATTATTTTAATTATAATATATTTGCATCATATTTAGTATTACTTGATATATTAGAGATCTGAAGCATTAATTGATATTACACTCCAATCAATTTTATACCAAAAATTTTCTTTAGTTAAAAAAAAATGAAAAGCAAGTAAATGAAAATGAAACAAAACTAATAGTTAACCTAAATACTTAAGATATTCAATAATTTTACCATAAAGATTAGATTTTGTCGGATATGGAAGACACCAAAATCGTCGAATTGTTACACTATATGTTATACTGTAATATACATTTACAAAAAAAAAAAAAATAAGCAACTTATTTATTATCAATAAAATTTTCAAAGTGGATTTCAGTCTCCATTTTATGTAGGTTTTATTATTTTACTTATTCATTAGTTTTATAGTATCAAAAAATTTACCATTAATTGCTAAGTTTAGTCAAATTTGTTTGCTTATTTCAAAATTATCACTACAAAGAAAGTTTATGTTATAGTTAATAGTAAAAAATATTGTTAAATTTTTATGTTTTACCGAAAAATTTAATTTAATTTTATAATTAATTAAATTACCTTCCATTTTTTTTGGAATATTTTTTAATGTTAGCAATATAATCAAATGCATATTGTCGTTCATCTTTCATTACCTCACCACCAACAACAATTTGTCCTGGATTTACGTCTGCAATTCCACGGTCCCACGAATTTTTTAAATTATCAAATGTGCAGCATTTCAATAACAGCCTAGAAATATTTGTAAATTTAAATATTGATTTTTTGTTAAATTCAGGAAAGATGCTGAAGTTTTCTTTTCTTTTCTAACAATTAAATTAATGCGGAACATTATGTTGCTATATTGTATTTAAATATTTAATTACATTTCTAAATATCAAAAAATTTGTTAAATTTAAAAAGATGAAAAAATTTTACGGTTGTGTAGTGATATTTGATGATGGCGACAATCCACCAACCCACTGCATATTCTCATCGCATGATGAACTAGCATAGTTTTTTTCACAAAACTAAATATTACATTTTTTTGCAAGTTGCAAAGCAAGAAAAAAAAAGTTTTTTAAATAAACTTATAATTTTTTGATACGAAAAAATATTTCAAATTGTTTAATTTAATTTTTTGCTCCAATTTTTTAAATTTTTAAATAAAAACATTTCATTTCTCTACTAGTCATGTATATTATGTTTTATTCACTAATTTTATAATTAAAACTTTGTCATCAAAATTTGATCAAATTTTTATCACATCATCAATTCTTTCTTCTATCTATCTTCAATTAAAAAATTATCAAAAGAAATTTTGGTTTTGATAATATTACTTTTACATTTCATAAAGTTACAATCATTTTTCTTTTTTCTTTCCATTGCAACATTTTTTATTCAATAATATAGTTATTTTACTGATTACAGAATTTTTGAATTAAAGGACAGGCTAACAGCTAGCTGTGATTCTCGTGCCATAGTTTTTGCTTTGTCATATTTCTTGAGATCAGTACGACGCATAAATCCATCATTCTTTCTGTGAATCCTTGAAATTTAATCTAATAATTAAAATGAATTTATTAAATCATAACTTTTTTTTGGTTATAATAATAAAAACAGAGTAAGTTTTTCAAAAACAAAAAAAAAAACTTGGAAATAGTAAAATTTAAACATTAAGCTTTTAGGAAAAGAAAAACTTAATTAAATTTTTTTGCCGTTTCCGAAATTAATATAACTAACCGATAGAATCGAGCACCCTTATCAGTTTTAACACCCCAACCAAAACACGACGGCCGTGCACATCCCAATACCGGTTGACCACTTTGCAGTGCCTAAAATATAAATTTATAATTTTTGGAAAGAGATAATTAACTTCAATTTTTAAAATAACATGCTATATTCTATTTTAGTAAGCAATAAGTAAATAAAAGGAAAAATTACACATTAACAATCAAAATTCTTTTATTTTATTGAAATTAATTTAAATTTTTTATCAGCATTTTTTTGTATCTCAAACTATTAATTTAAATTCAAGAAATTTAGTAATTAAAAATAACCGATTATCTTCTTTGGCAGAAAGAAAAATAAATTAACAGAATGATAATTTATTAAACTATTTATGTAAAAATTAAAAAAAATTTGAATGAAATACTTGTAAACTGAATGGAATTGCATCTTCCCCACAATATGAAGCAAATATATATGCATTTTGTATTATAATAAGACAAACTGATAACGATGTTAACAATAGCATAATTTGATTGAATTTAATTTTGATCAATGAAATGAGTACACTTTCAGGCAATGTAATGAGAAAAGGATGACAAAAGGATGGTTGACAGATTTGATTTCAATTTTGGTAGGTCAGGTCAAAATCCATCTTTTATGTCAATGACCGATTTTTGTTCTAAGATGTGATCCGCTTTCAAATAAATTCAATTTGTAATTTATTGACATTTTTTATATTTATACGTTAACATATGATTGTACAAATATTTTTATTATTATATTTATAATTTTTGGAAAGAGATAAATTTAACTTTAATTTTTTAATAACATGCTATATTCTATTTTAGTAAGCAATAAGTAAATAAAAGAAAAAGTTGCACATTAACAATCAAAATTCTTTTATTTTATTGAAATTAATTTAAATTTTTTATCAGCATTTTTTTTGCATCCCAAACTATTAATTTAAGTTCAAGAAATTAGTAATTAAAAATGTCTGATTATCTTCTTTGACAGAAAGAAAAATAAATTGCAGAATGATAATATATTATTATTATTATTACTATGTGTAATTATTATTATCAATTATTATTGTTGCTGATTATCACCATTGCTTTTTAATTCTTTTTTACTGTTGTTAATTATTACTAATGTTATCATTTTTATTATCATTGTTATTATTATAATTATTATTGTTGCTATATATAATTATTGTAACTATTGTTATTCATTTATTATTACTGCCATTATTATTGTTTTCATTGTTATTGTGTTACAATTATAGATTGTCATTATTACTATTATTATTATTTATTGTTATTCTTATTCTTATTACTACAATTACTATTATTATTATTATTATTACTATTATTATCACTACTACTACTACTACTACTATTGTTATTAACTATTTTTTTTGCCGTTACTATTAATATTAAATTTTTATTATTATGATTTATAATGATTATAGCCATTGTTCAATATGTGAACGATAATTTGAATCTGATTTTTTAAGCAATTCCAGTTTTTCAGTTTTCCTTTTTTTTCCCCTTCCATGGCCCATAAAACTGTGAGGCTTTAATTCTTAAAATTACTTTTATTGAAATTTCTCCACTGCGTTTCACAAACATAATTCCACTCGATTCATTCCATTCCACATATTTATGAAATACAAAAGGAAAAATATTTTAATGTTTTAAATATTTTTTTAGCATTCAGAGAAAATTTATTACAATCGTTGACCTATCTATTATCTTTTACCCATTGATTGCCCAGAAAAGAGAGAGAGAAAAAAATATTTCTCTCATTTCAGCTATCATCCAATGTTCCCATTAATAATTTCATAGTCGTTCTAAGTTAAAAATTGTATTCAAAAAGGAATTACTAGTTGCAAAAAAATGATGCAAAAGATTCTGGCAAAATTGATGATTAATCAAATAAAATTTAAGATAAAATTTTGCTTCAATAAGTTACTACCAGAAAAAAAGAAATAAAATAATGAAATGAAGAAATAAAAAACTTTAATCATTTGAAAAAAAAAATAACTTTAATCATTTGAAACGAGCATCTACTGTTATTGTTTTAATTTTGTGGTTTGTTGGAAGGTTGTTTTAATCAAAAATCATTCAAAGAATTAATCAGCTGCTAAAAATTATGTATAAATTTATTAACGAGTTATTTTTTCAAAAAAAATATTGCAAGAAAAGTGAAAAATATTCTATAGGAAATTATAAAATTTATTTCAATTCTTTTAAAAATTTCTTTCAGCAAAATTTTTCAATAACTATTTTGTTTTTCTCAACAATTTGTTGTAGTGATATCCAGAAATAGTTCTTGCACACAACAGTGGTATCGTTTGACTATTTTTATTTCTCAAATTAGCTACAGTTTTATTTATATTAATTTTTATTTCAATTAAATATTCATATTAATTGAATGAAATATTCCTCCATATACTTAATTTACTTTCTAAATAAAAAAAAAATCGAAAAGGTATGAATTTCACGAGATTTTCCATATCCTTCAGCTCCAAAATAAGAAATGGAAATAAATCTCAGTTGAAATAAGATTAAATTATGAATGCTTCAATGATGTTAACTTAATGTTAACTTTTAAATGTTGCGATTTTACCAATCTGTTACCAATAATTATGATTAATTATGTCTTTTTGCTTAGAAAATGATAAACTGAAAATTTTAAAAATCATATTTCATTGTTAAATAAGCAAGAAATTTCAAGAATAGAAGAGAGAGATAAAATGGAAAGAGCAGACGAAGCAGATGCAATGCAAAAATCAAAAATTGATTTTGATGAATTGATAAGTGATATCAGTGATAGTGAAACAGCTGAAACAAATACATCCGATGAGCAACAAAGTGATAAAGAAAGTTTCAGGCAAATTAATGTTAGTGTAAATTAAAGGAAATGAATTAACAAATATTTAAAGAGAAAATGATAACATTGAACATCAAAAAAGCTAAATTAAAAAGATGTAAAGACTAATTTAAATGCTATTATTAATTTTAAAAAATGAAAATGATATTTCATGAAATTTACTAATAAATAAATTTGTTGCAAAAAAGGAAAAAGGAAAAAAAAAACAATTTGTATTAAAATACAATTAATGATTTTTTTTGGATATTTGAATGAATAATCTTAAATTTAATCTTAATATGTTATACAATGTGCTAAATAAATAGCAACGTCAGTTTTTGAAATATATTTTACAATCTAAATAAAACATTCATCTAATATGCAAAATTTTATATTAACAAATAAATTGTTACCAAAAATTTTTTAAATTTTTCAGATAAAAATGGGTGAACGTTTAACAGATGATATAATTGATGCATATTGTGATAAATTACAGGAAAGTGTTAATAAAGAAGTTGATGGAATGCTTGCAATGCAATATATTTTAGTTAGTGTTATTAATTTAATTAACAAATTTTTTATAAATAAAATTATGATGTGACAGGTAAATTTTAATTTAAATCTATTTTAGCTTTTAAGTGCTTAGGCTTTTTTTCATAACAAAAGAATTAGAAATGAAAGTTTTACGAAATAATATTTTGATTTGGGTAATTTGAATTGTTTAATCAAAAAATATCATTTAAAATATAGTTTAAAATTTTGCTCTACATAAATTGCAATAATCATTTAAGGAATTCAGCAAAAAATAATGAGAAATTATTGTGATAATTGACAAGTAATTTTAGGTTAGTTCAAATTACTAGATTTTCAATTTATAAATAAATATATATATATGTTAGGTATATATATTATGTCAGAAATCTCCTAAAATTATGTTTTTACTATGTTGATTGAATTACTCAATAAGTAATTTATTCTGAATTTCATTAGTATTTTATTAAAAATATTTTTTTTTCTTTTTAGTTAGAGCCAAATTCAATAAAAAATTTGATAAAAGGTGATAAAAATATCTGTCAAGTGATCTATGATCATTGCCGTGTGCATTATTTGGTGTTATTCCGCAATAAGCACAATCCTAAACGCATCATTATTTATGATCCCATTGTACCGCGGCGAAATTCCGTTCTTGAAACGGTTTTTTTTTAAATTTTTAAAATTTTTCAGAAAAAAAAAACTTTTTTATTCCTTTTTTTCAACGAAATTAAACTCTTGAATAAGTAATTATAATAAATCTAGAGATTATTTTCAAAAAATCTTGAAATTACAATGTGGCTTTTTATGAAAAGAGCCAGAAAAATGATGAATTTCAATTTTAATTTAATTAATATTAATAAATTCAATCTAGATAAATTGATAAGTTTATAATTCAATTAATATTTCAATTTCATTAAAAATAATTAGTTATTTTTTAGTTTAATAATAGTGTTCGTAAGCAAATTTTTGCAATGTTTGGTCATTTATATGAAGATGATGAAATGGTTGAAATTGCAATTGAAACAGGTTTAAGAACACAAAATGATTCTTGGTCTTGTGGCTTACGAGCAGTTGCATTCATTACACATTTATTACTTGGCATTAATCCGGCTAAGTTAATTTTTAATTAATACTATTTTTTGAATTATTTATTTAATTTTAATTCAAAAAAATTTGGGGATGATTTTGAATAGAAGAATTAGGTAATTTAAGCTGATGAACTCGTTGTACGCCATAGAATAAACAAATTTTTATAAAAATTTAAAAAAAGAAAGAAAAGATTAAGAAACTTTTTTCAAATTGTTTTTTAAAATTTCAGAAAATAGAATAAATGAATAACTAAAGTTTCGTTAAGCGAAAATTTTATAAATTCAAAATTTTATCTTTTTTTGTTTTAAAAAAAAAGGAAATTGCAGTAAAAAATTTTCAGTTATGAATATGATTTGGAAAAAGTTGGAAAATTCATTATGCAAATTATTAAAATTGATAGGCCTAGTCGTAAAGTAATTGTTAATGGACAATTTGGCCAGTAAAATTATTGTTCCATTTTTTTTATTTGCAATAATTATCATTAATACGCTTATTTTCCTGAATATTTCAAAATTTTAAATTTATCTGAATTTGCTAAAATTTTCTCTAAATTCATCGTTTAAGTAATTTTATTTAGTCTAATAGCGCCTGAAAATTTAATAATTAACAATATTAGTTTAAGCTTATCACAAAAAATTATGTTTCTAATATTTATTATTATAATTATTTATATACATTAAAGTTTATTGATTTTCACATGATTTAAGAATGATAAGCTAAGAATAGAATAATGATAAGCCAATAATAGAGTGATAAATCGTTAAATATGTTAAAGTAACAATTTAAATCAGTCATATTTACAGGAAAAGAGAAGATAGCAAATCACGTTTAACAATTATACGTTTAACTAAAAATGGTATTTTTTCGAATAAAAATGAAAGATTCAATTTAATAACCAAGCAATCTTCGTCCAAAACATTATTGATTGGCAGAAAAGAAATAAAAATAAGACGAAACCGTGAAAAAAAATTATCAAAATTTATCATTGATAAGAACATGGATGATAGTAAAAGTGAAAATGATAGCAGCGGTAGAAAAATGGTAATATTTGCATACATTTGATTTTATTTATTTTTAAGGTTTTTTAGTTGTAAATTTAATTTTGAAACTTCCAACAAAAAAATGAATTAATTTTTAGTAAACAAATTTTTGAAATAGTTAAATTATAATGAACACAATTTTTTTATTGAAAAATGTTATCAGTGATAATTAAATACTTTGAGAGTGTAATTTTTTGATGAATAACTTTTTTGTGAATATAAATGATTGAAATATTTACATTCGCTTTATGCAATAATTTATTTAATAATGAAATATTAATGGTAGCTAAAAGTTACTGTAATGAATTTATTCATTTATAATCTAATTTCTTATAGACAGTGCTATTTTAATTAAATAGATATTTTGGGAGCATTTTGATGAATAATTAATTGATTTGCATAAAGATGCTAATATTTAGTAACTTATATCTTTTAGCGTACAATTAATTAGCATTGCTTGGAAACAAATCTTTAAATCTTAGTATTAATTTTTATTTTTTATTTTACTCTTTTTTTATGACCTGTTATAGAAAAAAGTGGGTGACTGTTCGAACTTTCATTTGTTCAGTAAATTTTGTTTGTTTTAGAAATTTTTGATTAGTAAATTTGACTTAAAATAATTTGTAGAAAATAATTTAGTGTAAGATATTGGTGTTTTGTAAGCTAAATTTTGTCATTCACTTATGTTTTAAATTTGTATTAAATTTCCTCTCTCTTTGCTCCAATTTTTTTCCTTTTTTATTTATTGATACTTTTTTTGATACGTCTAATTGCGCTCTATTATGCGTCTAATTATGCAATTAGAAATTTTAAATGAACTTAGTCATATGTTTCGAGAAAATATCGAAAATTTTTATATTAATTTTAGAATACTTATGGATGTGTAAACCACATAAATCAAGGAGAATGAGCAGCAGCGAACATAATTCATCGAAAAATTTTAAATCTTATGAAGAAATATTGTCAACCATCAGTGATAAATAATTATTGCAGTGTTTAATTTCAATTTAATTTTAATTTATTCTTTAAAATGACATCACATCCAAATTTTGCTTTTTTCTTTTATTATTTTACTTTAAATTTAAAATTAATTTAAATAACTCTCGTAATTTTCTTTCTTTTTTTTTACATAAAATTTATTGTTGTCAACAATAAGAAATCGAATCCGAATGATAAATAATATGATAAATGTTTTTGAAATAAGTGATTTTTTCTTGTTAATATTAAGATGAATAAACAAACTTATTTTTGATAAATAATCCTGAATAACTTAAAAGTTAAAAGATTAAAAATAATTTAATTTTAATTGCAAACTGACAAGGAAGCACATATATTCCAATTTTACTTAACACTATATCAATTTTTGATTCTTGCAACTTTTGTAATTATTTTAAATATTAAGGCTAAAAATATTAATTTAATTTTAACATTTAAACATTTTTGATGTGGTTATGTACTTCTCAACATCGATAGGATAGAAAGATGTGATAAATTGCTGATTTGCTTGTACAGTTTTCACTGATTGATATATTTATCAGAATTTACTTCATTCCAAAATAAACAACTGAATGAGTTCTAGTTAGTATTATCCCTTAATTTTTCCATCATTTTTTCAAAGTATCCACTATATAACATATTCGTCATATACTAGAAATTCGACAATTATACACATTTCAAATATTAAATTAGCTTTTTGTTCATTTTTTAAAATATATTAATTGTTGCTACTAAGATAATTATCATTTAATCTATGTAATTTATAAAAATGGATAAACCGTAATTATGACTGAAAATTGAGAGCTCTTTTTGTTGATAACAGGATGACGTTCCGGATATTTTAATGAAAATAACTTTATTGTTGAAATGATTATCTATTTTTAGCATTTAGCTTGAAATGCAAAAAAAAAAATTGTACATTTCCAGCGGATATTCATAAAAAATTAATTAATAAAACGAATTTATAAGGTACTTATTACTTTGTTGTATGTTTTAATAAAAACATAATGACCAAAAGTTCTTTATGCGCAATTCATTTGATTCAGTTAAGGGAGCACTAAAAATTTTCCGTTTTGAAATACAATAATTGGAATATAATATTAAGGAATACAATAAGGAAATGGAGTTCATAAAATTTTGTTTTTTTTGTTTTTTATTTTAATTTATTGGTTACTTTTTAAATTATATTTGAAACTCATATTTGTTTTATATTGAACTGTTTCTCATTAATTTTAAAACTTCTACAAGTGGACAATTAAACCTGTAATCCATTTTTTTTTAACTGCATAAATAAGAATTTATAAATGGCTTACTGACAATAATATTAGCAAAGTGATTACTTTATCATCGACATGCTTTTCCAGTGTGATTATCATTAAATGTTATCACACACATACATAATATTGCTTTTAATAAGATCATTAATAAATAAAAAATATTATTGTTATAATAAAATTTTTTAAAAAAAAATTTTTTTTTGTTATTGAAAAAAATAAACTCCAAAAAAATCACTTTAGCTTCGAAAAAAAAGAATTTGGTATAAAAGTGTTCAATCCTATTATTAAATGAATGATATGCAAATATAAAATGATCAACTTCAAAATTTTCTTTTTTTGAAAACTTTTTTTGACCTTTTACATTGGTAACAAAAATTGCTTTTTCCAGTGTGATTATCAATTAATGTCATCATATATATAATTGAAATGATTAGTAAAACTATTAAGTATGTTAATAATTTTGATCAGTTAAAATTAATTAAAATTAATCTATGCTAGTTTGAATTTTTTTTCCTAAAATTTAATTTCACTTTTAAAATAGAATAATTTTTAATGGCAGAACTATCCTAAATAAATCTTTCATAAACAAGAACAATAACAAGTCCTCACACTTCTTTTGTTCATTTTGCATTTGTTGAATTAGTTGACCAACCTGTCATTTCAAATTAATTTTGAAACGATCTAAAATTTATTTTCCTTTTCTAGAGCTAATCATAAATATAGCTTTATATCTTTATAAAGGTTAATCATTTAGAAATACAGTACTTATAAAATTATAAAAAAAAAAAAATTAACTCGTGCAAATAATTGAGTGTAATTTAAAATATTATTAAATTGTTCGGAGCATACAATGAATTAAATGGAACAGATTAGAAAAATCGATTGAAATATTTCAAATAAAAGTTGACATTTGATGATATTGCTATTAACTTATTAATCCTAGGTTTTTTTTTTTGCTTTATTTTTCCTTTTTCTAATTTCAATTTATATTTATTAATTTTAATAATCAAAATAAAAAAAAATGGAAAATATTCGTCAGACTTGTTATTTTCATACAATAGAATCAATCAAATCAATTTCAATACTAAAAATATCAATGAGAGCAAAATTAGAAACGAGTTTGTTATCTCTTTGAAGAAGTTGCGATTGATGAGAAGTAATGATAGTAACGGAATTGAAAGGTTTTTTTTTTTTTTTTTTTTTTTTTTGCCCGGGAAATAAAAGCAGGAAGAAAAGAAATGAGGTGATTAAGGGTAAAGTATGGGTAAAGAGCTTTTTTCTTTCTTTTTTTTCGGCGCTATTAGAACAAACCTTTGAAAAGAAAATGGCACAAATACCATACAATTGCTCTAATACATTTATTCCTACTAATTTTAGGAAAAAAGTCAATTTTTCCACATTTTATTTTTTCAATAAAATAATTCAATTTGTTTTAAAAAATGTTAAACGATACCGACTTTTCCATTCCAAAAAGCTTTTCATTTTTTCTTTTTTTCTTTAGGCTCATTAAATAATTGGATGATTTCAAATATTTCATTCTTTTGTGTATAGGAATAAATAAATAGCAATTAAGAATAATTTTTTTCATCTTTATGTCATCAAACATTAATCGGTAACAAAAAAAAAAATCTTATTTAACTGTTAATTGAAATTATAAATTAGGTTAGTAAATAGGATGAATTCGCTAAGTATTGTTTACTGCTTTGCATAAGTAGCTATAAAGTTTTAAACTCATTTCGTTTTATTGTTAATGTTAAGATATTATGGAAATTTTTTCAATGAATCAAAAAAAAATCATGGCTAACAATTATAATGTTAAAAAAGTAATAAAACAAACCTTTATTATTTAAACTTTTTAATTAGCAAATTAGAGTTTTCCAATTTTACCAATCAGCTGAGCAAATTTGTCAAATAAGTGAAATCATTAAAGTTTATTTTTGTCAGCCTTTTTATTATCACTTGAAAAAAGAAAAGAAAAACTCACAATAATTCATTTAAATGTTTTTTTTTTTTCTTCAATTATTTAAAATCAATCAAAATTTATTTTAATATACTAACCAATTAACTTCTAAATATAAACCCTTTGTAGATTATTTTGTCAACAAATTTATTGATTTATTTCTTATAATGCATATAAACATTGCAAGTATTTGCAATCTTCTTAGCAATTATAATAACAATAATAGTATGAAGATGAAAAGAAGGCATAAAATTTGCATATTTTTAATAAAATAATCAAAAGTCCCTTAATTGATAGTCAATGTTACTAATACTATATCACATCTTATCTTATTTGTAGTGTTGGGGCGCTGGTAGTAAAAGAGTGTCATGATTTGCGGTCACATTCACACTTTCCCACCGTATCATCAATCATTTTGAGAGATGGAAATTCGACAAAAATGTTGACATCGTTTGTGGCAACCACTTTGCTACTAATGACACACACACATACATGCAGACATGCACACATACACACACACATCACACACAGGTTAATTTAATTTTAATCTGTTACTCTGTATGTTTGAATATAATCAAAGTATAAATATTTAGAAAAAATAATACATTATAACTTTTTAATACTATTATTGCATGCATTTCACATGGAAAATTTTCTTTTTTAAACATACTATAATTGTTTGATGTCATTATGATCATTTTTTTAAAAAAATTAATAAAAATAGAGGGTGAAAATAAATTAAAGTAATTTCTAGGAAATTATTTTAATTTATTAAATTGATTTCACAAAAATTTGAATAGTTTTGTCTGATCAATAATGTTAGAAAGAAGAAAGAAAAATAAAAATGAATTACAATTTCTAGGAATTTATCTTAATTATTGGATTAAAATTTTGAGTTTTATTTACTTCTTTCTGGAAAAAGTCATTTTAATTATTAAATAAGAAATTTTTTTTGAATAGTATATAGATGCATATCTTAACTTGATACCAATTTTTATCAATGCAATCATTAACCATTTAGCACAAATCAAATTCAAAATTTATATTTTCATCTTTCAACTTTTGAACAATTTTTCCTTGTTCTTTTTTTATTCCACAGTTTTTAAATTAACTCGATAATTAAAATAATTTCTTAAAAACTATAGTTTATTTTTATTTCCAGTTAAAAAAATTTATCATAAAAAAAAAAAAAAAACAAATAACTTCTTATCATTTAAGAATAGCAGCTTCATTTGAAATTTTTCGTTTCTTTCATTTTTAAATAAAAAAAATTTTTTTTTTGTTTAAAGTACAAATCCAAAATTGTTTCTTATTATTTCACTTATTTCTTTGATTTAACTATTAGTTTAAAAAAAAAAAAAAAAACGAAGAAAAAATCGAAGGATGAAATTAATGGTGCTCTGTTCACTTATAAAATTAGATGTATTCGTGTTATTTTTGAGGACATTTAGCAATTCCAACGATATTTGTCCTTCTCAACAGCAATTATAATCCATCATTAAAAGAAGCATACCGCTATGACAGATTAATTAGTACAATGTTTGGTTTTTTCTTTTTTTTTTCTTTTTTTGCTACTCATCCTATACACTATATGCAACAAGTCAAAGGTCAAAAAAAAAAAACGTTGTGACACGTTACGTCATCCAATGATCCAGAAAAAAAAAGAAATAGATCATCATAAATATACCGCAGTTTTCCTATTTTTTTCAAAGGTTGCCATACTTTTTTATTAATAACAAAACATCAATACCTCATCTTGTAATTTCTTTTTTTAAATGTTTGTTTACTTATTTAAGAACATAAAAAACGAAAAAAAAGCAAGTAGCTTTGGTATGCTTCTTTTTCTTTTTATTTTTGCACTGATATTTCCCGACAAATAAGCAAGCTAAAATATTATCCATACAATAACGCAATAATGACGCAATATTTGCATAGTAAATCATTATGCATACAAAATTACCATATATCCTTCCTTATTAAATAGTAATTAGAGAATTTGATCAAAGTTAGCAATATTTTATTAAAAAAAATTATTTTTAACTTGGTTTCTTCCTCCCTCTTCCTTCTTTCTCTCCCTCTTCATTTCTTTTCAATAAAATGATTTATTTTGATATAAAATAGCAAAAAATTTATTAATATATTGTTAGAAATAAAAGGAAGCAAAAAAAATTTTTTATTTTGAATTTTAAACTTTATATGATTTATGATAAAAAAAAACAGACTTCATGGAAAATTTCTGCTTTAATTGTTAAATTTGTTTCAGTTAAATCATTTCAAAAGTTGACAAATTATTTATAATTTGACAGATGCGTCATTAAAACAATTCATAATTAAAAGAATAATTATTAATGAGCGAGAAAATTTTATTTGTTCAATATTAGAAGATAGATGTTGCCAAAACCTTTTTGTTAAGCATTTTTCTATCTTCTTTAAAATTTTTTCACTCGGATTTTTTTTTTTTTTTTAATACTGAAATTACATTTTGCAGGTCAAAAAAAATTGAGCAGAAAAAAATAGCCACATTAGCGCATACTTTAACACACTTTAACCGGTAAGATGATGCGAACAATGCTAACTATAACTGAATTTAAATACCAAAAAAAATGACTCTAAATATTTTTTGCTATCATTTCTTCTTGCATGATAATGAGTACGAACTGAGTCAAATATTTTAACAAAAAATAATCCAAAACAATTATTACTGTCATTGCATGAAAATGAGCCATATGTAACTGAGCCAAATGGTTAACAAGAAATTTTTATTCGTATTTCTGAAAAATTCTGAAAATGCTTCAATGAATGACTATATATTTTCTATAGATTTTTTATCATAAAATTTCTATGATAAAAAAAAAAAAAAAAAAAAATGAAAGAATGAAGGTTTGTTCAGACAAAGAAATTAGGCATCAAACTTTAAAAAAATCAATAATTTCATGAAAAATCTTTATTGAAACTAAAATTTAAATTTACGGTATGGACATTTTTGATGAAAAATGTGTATAAACATTAAAATCAGGTAGTTGAAAGTTTCCATTTGTTGACATCATTGTTGTGTTTGAAGTTTGATATGGATTAGGCGCAACAAAACCACCATGCATCGTCTACAATAAAAAATGAAAAATTTTTGACAAATATTCTTAATAAAATCTCTTAAAGTCTAATTTAATTTTAATTATCAAATTGACTTAACCTTAAGTTTTATTTCATTATTGTTGCAAATTGATTTTATTGTGTTATTATTACTTACCAAACATTTGAACAACATATTTACTTGATTATTTCTTTTTTTCATGAGTAAACTTACAGAAAAAAAAAATGCTATCAGTTAACAAATTTCCATACTGAGAAGTGGAAAATGATGAAACTCATAAACTTGCCAATGAAACAGAGGATAAAATCAATGAATGAATAAAAATTAAAAAAATGTAGATTAAGAAAAATATATATTCTGAAGCTACTAGTATCATAAATTGACTGCTTATTTTATTTGATATTTCGAAAAAAAAAAGAAACATACTGGATTATTTGTTGAAAACCTTGGAAAACATTGTTGATTGATCGGATTTAGAAATAATGAACGATGAGAATCTTGAGCTAATTGAAATGATTGTTCTGTAGAAGAGAGACCAGGTAGTGTTATTGTTGAAGAAGTATTAGCATTATCATTGCTAATATTTGTTTGTCCATTATCACCGCCACTATCATCCAAATCTGGTGATAAGCATTGTCCACTTTTACAATGTACCTGTAAACACAAGAAAAAAAGTTTCCCATCAAAAATATTATAATTGATATCAAAAATTGGATTTATATCCAAAATTTTTCATTTGATTATTGTATTTTTTTTCTAATAATTCTTTATTTGTACTTTTAATGACTATTACAAAATAATTATTGTTTATTTTTTTTTAATTTTATTTTACTAAATATTCAACGTGAACAATTTTTTTTCTTTTTTTTTTTTATAAAAGTAAACATTTGTTATTTGGAAAAAATAAAAAAATTTATTATTCATTTTTTACTAAATATTTATTTAAAAAAAGAAATGTGCCCTTAGCACGAAATAATTGCCAGAATGAAAAAAAAATTGTTTTTGCTACTCATTTTACTTTTTTAAAGTGTGAAATCACTGCTGTCTGAGAGATGGTAGATGAAATCATATGAACGATACCGTATCCTTATTGCAGTGCAGATGGCTTAGCAGCTTGAAATCTTTTTTCTCTTTCTTTTTCTCTCTCTTTTCTTTTTTTTTCTTTAGAAATTTGTTGCTCAATTTTAAAATTACTCAAATAATAGGAATGGCAAGAAAAAGTTAAAAAAATATCACTCAATTTGAAAATTTAAATAAGTGATAAATTTGAAAATTTTGATTAAGTGATTAAATAAATCATAAACTATAAATAAACAACGTAAATTTTGCTTCGTTTATAACAAAATACTATAAGTGGTCAAAACCTAACTTTTGAGTGAGTTAAATATATTTAATAAAGGACAGTCTAGGTGTCAAAAAGCAAGCAACATAAATTTTATTATGGTTTAAGATTAAAAATTTAAATGAAATAATAAACGAAAATAAATTTTTATAAATCATATTTATAAATTAAATTTATTCGTTAGAAAAAAAATCAAAAAACGATTATGTGATAAATTTTACAATTTTACAATAATAATCAGTAACAACGATGATAATAATGATAAAAAATAATATGATAATAGTTAAATGATGATAAAAATAAAATATTTAGTATTAATGAGTAATGCAATTTAAGATTTTATCAATTATATCCGTTAACCACCAAATGGAATCATTATAATATGTTCTCAAATTGTCATTCCAATAGATACTGATCAAAATGATTCAATCATTTGTATGTAATCTGAACCGGAACAAATTTGCTTTTCCTAATTTCTTAGGAAGATAAGAATGGAGGATTGAAGAATGGATTGGATGGAATAATTATTAATTGAGAAGCAAGAATAGAAGATAGCTATTTTGCTACAGGTGACCTTAAATAGGATAATTATCAGATTAACTACGCGCGCGCACTAAATTCACTTTGTCCTTAAAATTTTAGTGAAGCAATAAAGAGATTTGCATATAATTAAAAAAAAAATACATTTGCTGATTAAAATTTTCTACTAATATGAAGAATACAATTTATATGTAGACTTGAAATTTCGATGAAATAAATTTTTGAAGTTTTTAGTGTTTTTAAAAGTGAAGTGAGATGTAGAATTAGATTTAATACTAATGGATTTTGTTAAATTTCGAAAAAAAAAACAAGATTTTAAACTTACAATTTTATCAATTTTTAGCGCAAAAAAAAATTATTCGTATTTTGTTAAATAAAATTTTAGCAATTAAAGCTCTTTTCAAGCTAAAATTTCTAAATAATCAAAATTCGATAATTTTTTTCCCGTAATTTCTACTTTTACCAATTTTTCTTTTTTTTTTTTAGTCTGTCTAATTGTGCCGAATAAATAATCTAACAGAAGGCTAATTTCATTGGTTAACGGAAGTAATTAGTGAGAAGTCAACAAAAGCAAACCGATTTATTGGTTTAAAAGGCTACAAACAATCTGTCTTCATTTTATTAAGGCTTTTGTGATGATTACACCTTAATAACAATTTTAATCACTTTGTAACATACAAATAAATATAACTTTGTAGAAAATTATGTACCAAATAGGTCAAGATTAATTGACAATAAACAAACAGAAAGAATATTGTACTTAAGAATTTAACGAGTTAATTAATAGAATAAAATTATGATAAGTATCTAGTCTATTATTTATTGAAAAATTATCAATTTATTAATTTTTTCCGAAAAGAATTTATAGTTTGGTTTTTTACTGAATAGATTTAAATTTCATATTTCAAATTAAACTGTTGCAAATGAAAAATAATGAAAGATATGAAAAAGGCTATGCAAATAACTCACGAACTTATTGTTTAAATTAAAGTAATATCAAATAACAATATATAATAAATGTATTGTTTTTAAAATTTAAAATGATTCTAAAGCTAAATTTGAGTACGATTAGTTTGAAAGATTTCTTAAATAAAACTTTAGATTTGAATCAAGTTTTTCTTGAAAAAAAAGGAAAAAACAATAATTTAACAAATAAATAATATATAATAATAAACGCATTGTTTGTACATAACTGAAAACTTAATATTAGTAAAAATTTATTAATTTTACGAAGTTAGAGTCAACTTAAATTAAAAATCAAAAATTTATTAATAAAATAAAACATTTGAAAAAAAAGTAAAAAGAAAATTTGAAAGGAAAAATAAGAAATAATACCTTTAAATGCTTTCGAAGTGAAGAAGGGTGCGTATATGATTTGCGACAACCATTAATTTTACATTCATACGGTTTATCATTTGTATGAACATGCATATGTTTCTTACGATCGCTGCTATTAGCAAATTTACGGTCGCAACCAGGATGAGTACAGGTAAATGGCTTATCACCTGAAAATTGTTTAAGAGTCCTTGTCACCTATAGTTGAAAACATTGAAATTTACATATTAAAAATTATAACAAACGTTTTTGTTTATGATAGTTGAATTTAAAAAATATTAGTTATATTTTAAAATATCAGGTAATGAATTGAAATTTATACAAATATTGAATAATTCCAACAAACGTTTTTTTTTTTTTCTTTCCGCTTGGTGGTTATATGCAAAAATATTAATTCGCTTCTTGTCATTTATGAATGAAAAAAGTTGTTTACAGGCAACAAATTGAAATTTATATAAATATTGAAAACTGCACGAAACATTTTTCGTTTTTTTTTTTTTTTTATTGTTAAGTTTAAAAAATATTAGTCTGCTTTTTTTCTGTTAAATTTTTTGAAATATAAATAGAATTGGTAAATTAATTGCTATTATTTTAAATGATAATCAAAGATATTTGATGTCAAATAAAAATAAATGTGACAATGAGGATTTATATTAGTCATCTAAATGAATGGGTTAGTAGTTCTTAGGCCAGATGCCAGATTTTCTATCCATCTTTAAATCGTTAAATAACTATTTCTGCTGAGCAAATCCGCAAATGAATGAATGAATGAATGAATGAATGAATGAATGAATGAATGAATGAATGAATGAATGAATGAATGAATGAATGAATGAATGAATGAATGAATGAATGAATGAATGAATGAATGAATGAATGAATGAATGAATGAATGAATAGTGCCAATAATATCAAAGACTAAGAGTATCTTATAAAATTTGCATTTTAGTAAAATTTAAAATATTAAATTTTTTTTTGTGTTGATTTCTTTAAAAATAAATAGAAATGATAAATATTTGATATTATTTCAATAACAATTCTTGATTAAAATTTTTTTTGATATCTAGATAATTGATTAACTTACTAATTATTAAAATGCATTGCAATGGAAATTTTATTTTCCAAGGCATAGCTGCTGAAGAAAATACGAAAAAATAACTTCTCTTAAATAATTTGGTGATAAAATAAGCATGTATCTGATGAATGTTTATTTTTGATTTTAAAAAAATTTCAAAAATGATTGGAAATGAAGAAAATTTTAGCATAATCTTTTAGACTTTCTCAATATAATAAATAATTTTAGGATGAAATGTATATATTATAAAATTTATTAAATACTTATCTTAAACTAATTCATAAAATCTGGAATCATCTGGAAATGTAGTAAATCATGTAAACTTTACCAATGTGACAAATAAATAATTGTTAGTTATTTCGAGGGTTACCAATTATGAATATACTTAAGTGTTCTGTTTATTTAGTTCACTAGCTGATGCAATGAGCAGGTGTTATGTTACCTATCTATTATAATGGTACCACTAAATAGATCTTCGCCTGTCTGAGGGTTCTTCAAAAATTTTTTGCCAATTTTTTTCTAAAAAAAAAATTTACTTCCAGTTTAGTGCTAATTAAATATGCTTGAATCGAATCAATAAGTTGAAATGGAGTGGAAAAAACACTTCTGAATTTAAATTTTATTTAACTTTTTTTATCCTAAATATGAAATTTTCGTCATTTTTTATTCATAACTCAAGGAATACTGTGGCACAAAAACTGCTAATAGAGTTTTGGCATTATTAATTGAATGATTTAACTTAAATTACTACGAAATGTGAAAGTATTTTTTTTAGGATTAACAAATATCTTTAAAGATTATTTTTTATCAAGTTAGTACTTGAGAATGAATAATTTGTTAATTGTTAATGAAGCGAGAAAAAATGAAGTTCTTCTATTAATTTCCTATTGAAAAAAAGGTGAATTAGTGGTTAGATAATCCTAAATGGATATTCTATTTTGCTATTCTAATCTTTTTTTTTTTTTTTTTTTTTTCAATAGATTGGATTAAATCTGACATTTGAATTGATTTTTGACAAAAATTAAGATGATGGTAATGATAATAATGATGATGATGACAATGATGATGGCTTATGTACTGCTTGAAGGAAACAATAATAGATGATTGGGATAGAGAAGAGATAGGTAACGAGGATCACAGCTGCTCTATTGTGTATTTCATATTTGAGTGGATTATTAAGAAGTTGAATGAGGGCTTCACCTAATGACATTACTAAATTATTTTAGTAATATAGTAAAAATGAAGTGTGAATATCTGAGAAGCTATTTGGTTGTATAATACTGTAAAAGGAATCAACATTAACATTTAAAGATTAAAAATAATTTTACTGTTCTGATGATGATAACTGCATTGTTGTGATAGTGATAATAGTGAATGATTAAAAATAATTGCATTATTTTGTTCTGATAGTTAGGATATTGAAAGAAATAATCATATTATTGTGATAGTAAATATTTAATAATTAAATTTAATGACTAATAATGATTTGACTATTATTGATAGCGACTATTCATAAAATATTTACTGATTGAGAATAATTAGATCATTATTTATAGTGATGATCAGTGACAATTAAAAAATTGGTGATGACAAAATGTAATAATAACAACAAAATAACAATGATGACATAAAAATATTATCAATTGCTAACCTGTATGTGTTCGTTGATGAATTTTCAAATTTTCACTTCTTGCAAAAACTTTTGAGCACATTGTACATGGAAATGGTCTCTCACCCGTATGTACCCGAATATGATTAACAAGTTTATATTTTGCCTGAAAGGTAAATTTTATTGTAAAAAAATTACTGCTACATCGTATTTCACATTAAAATCAGCTAACAATTAAAACATTTATTTGATTAGTTTATGTTTTTTTAATTTTTCCAAATATCGATATATTTCTATCAAATATTTTTAATTTTTCTCAAATATTTTTTAATCTCTCAAATATTTTCTAATAAATTATTAGTATTTTCAAATGATCATTAAAATATAAATTGATTTATTTCTGATTAAATTCTCATTTGCTTTACTTTTTTCAAAAGTACGTTTTTGTCTAAGAAAAAATAATTTTTTAAAAGTATACTTTTGTCTAAAATGCATTAAAAAAATTTGTTTATGTAAAAATTTTAACATTCAGAAAAAAACAGAAGCTCACGCTTAATATTTTATCATTTTTTTAAAAAAATTTCTTACTTACTACATTTTTTTTACTTCAGACTAAATTTTATTCATTTCACCATACTAAATAACTTTAAACTTTAATAAAATTAGTCGTACTAATATAATTCATCATAATTTCTTTTAAAAAATTTAACATTTAAAAAGCGAAAATTTATAATTTAATAAACAACAACTTTTTTGATATTAAAATAAAATGAATTTTATCTTACTTTAAAAATTTTTCCCCTCCTTGAGCAATCTTTCCACTGACAGACATGAAAAGTGCTTTCTGACACACCCACATGCTCGTGTTGCAAATGGGATACGATATGTTCAATTGAGTAAAATAATCGACCACAAATCCTATTACGCTGAAGTATAAAACGAAACTAAATTTAAATTTAATTATAATTAATTTGGAAAATTTCAATCGTTTGTATTATTGCTAAAATTTAGTCATTTGTTAATAAAATTCAAAAACATAGCAATAAACAAAAAAGAAGTGCAAAATTAATAGCAATTAATATCAAAAACTGATAAAATTGAAAAACACAGCAGAACAATAATTTAAAAATTTTTAACTATTTGTATTAATTGTTAAAATTCATTTTGTCCTTTCAAAATCATATCAATATTACATTTTTTATTTTTTTGTTCTTTTAGCAGGAGAATCTTTTTTTCTCTTGCAGAAATTTTTTATAAATGAAAATAAAATAAAATTAATTTTGCTTATTGCATTAAATGAAAAATGAAATTTTTTTTTAAACTTAAAATTATTATTTAATAAATGAAGTGACACGGTTTTTTCTACTTCGTTTATAATTTTTTTCACAATTTTTTTTTTTTTTTTTTTTTGGTACCAACTTCAACCCATTGGCATTGAATTGGATTCTGGAGATAGTTACCACTTGGTGTACCGGATGTCATCGGTTGCATGGCAAACGGAAAATGTGGATAATGAGGCCGAACAAACGGATGTGATGAGCATGCATGACCAAGAAATGTTTCAGGATCCGACTTAATAAGATTATACGAATAGTCGGTTCCTGTGGTTGCTGGTGCAGAACTGAATAAACATGAATTTTGCATGAATTGAGTTTCAGGAGCAAAATACATATCAGGCGCAAAAGTGGCACTGCGTGATCCGTAACCATTTTCTGGAATAAAATGTCAATTTAATATTGAACAAAAACTTAGTTTATCAAATCTCAATACTTATTTGAAATTTTTTAAATTTATTGAAACTGTGAAATAAGTAATACCATTCTTGATGAATAATTGTTGTCCAAAAGTAGATTGTGATGGTACCATAGACTGGTAATAATTTCCCGGATTACAATCATTTCCAGGAATGATTGTATTTCCAATTTCCTTTGCCGGGATATTTGGAAGTTGAGTAGGTCTAAAAAAAAATGTACAAAAAAAAGATAAGTTAAATTAAGATTAAGTGGAAATTTTTGATAAACTTTCCTGCATAAACCTTATCTAACTTATGATACCGTAATTTACAATAACGAAGCATATTATTGCAATAATCTCAATATTATTCAGAAATGTTATTTCCAACAATAATTTTTTCCGAATTTTTTAGCAACAGTATAACTGTGGCCATGAATAACCAATCACATAGCTCTTCAAATAGTTAGCAATAATCTTATTCAAATTTGCATTCTATAATTTCCAACTGGCTCCCATTAATAATTGGCTATTCTTGGCCAATTTTTAGCATTTTTTCGTGTAATATGCATACAGAGCAGTTGAAATACGCTTATAATTTTAGAATACAATTTTTTTTTTTCTGCTAACTTTAAAATTTTTTTGGAAAGAATAAAATGATTGCCATTTAAATGAATATTTCACAAGGTTGTTATTTTAAGAAGCAGAAGGTTGCGCAAATTAAACATATTAAAAGATTTGAAATAAGTTATCAATCGACAACTTTTGCAAAAGTTTGCTAGAGTCTAAAAGTTAATTTTTTGGTTAGAAAGTTTTAAATATAGCAAATATAGACAAAATACCAATTTAAGAATAAAGCTAATTAGTCTATTAAACAAAGTAATTATATCATCTACTTTTTTAAATTTACTTTTAAAATTAATGAATGAAATAACAAATTATGCTTATTCATAAAGCATTGATATGCATATAGATAACAAATTTCAGTTGAATATGGTATTTATATTTGAAAGCTAAAAGCTTTTCTCCCTTTCTTTTTTTCTAGTTATTAAAAAAAAAAAAAATGATAAAAATTAAATAAAATATTTCATCAATAAGTTTGATTCAAAAAGAAAAAAATTCACAAAATAAAAGACTTATGAATTATGTATATATATATATATATATTGTTGTTGTTTGATTAAATTATACTTCTATGTCAAATTTGGACGAGAAATGAAAAAAATGAACTCATACCCGGTCGGTAGATGGCTTGTAACGTTAAATGATGGTAAAACGGTTGGGGATGAGGTAGTAATGCCGGGTGCGCAATTGGTGGCCGGTTGATGATGCTGCTGCGGATGTTGATATCCTGGAGTGAGCATCAACGTAGTCTAACGATTTTCGTGTTAGTAGTTTTACCTAGGAGAAGAAATTAGTTGAACTTGTTCGTTTGACCACCTTCGGATCATGAAAATGATTAGACACTCGGCAGGGGCGCTATTTTTGCCTGTTATTTGGAAAATAGCAATTCATATTGGTTTGGGAGGAAAGCAAGCAAAATGCTCATTCATACGTTTTATACTTTTTGCCACGCCTTTTTTTCCTATCTACAACTATCGTAATCCAAATTTGAACAACCAATGAATTCGTTAAAATTTGTTCGATTGGTAGATTGCAAAAAAAAAACCAAATGATCTACAAATCTAGCAGTATCAATAGCAATATGACAAAATTTGATAATAAACTGGAATTATGGAGCAATAAAAGCAATTAACTAAATTTATAAATTATCAAACTGTCATCAAATTTGGAAAAACTCAAAGTGAAATGATGAAAGAATGAAGCGAAAATGATTGATACTATTCGGATGATAATTTCATTATAGTTGAAGTTAATTTTTGCAGTAAAATTTAATTACATCAACTATTTCTGGTATGTTTTATTCTTTATTTCATTTTTTTTTTTATTTTTTTGTGCTGTAAAAGTAGGAATAATTGTTAAATCAATATTTGTCTGGCTTGGAATTTAAATTGAATAAAATGAATAGAATCGGAATAGCTTTATCATGAAATTATGGAATATTTGCACAAAGTGCTATTGTATTGTTAGCAGCTATATCAAATAAGTGGTGTTTTTTTAAAGCTTTTCTCTCTATAAAATTTGTGACATAATCTTAATTATACTTTTTCTAATTTTAAACATTTATAGATTTTTTATACTTCATAAGTTGTGCCTTTTTCTATTTAAAGACAAAAGATAGGAAGTGAAATGTTAGAAATTAAAAAAAAAAAAAAGAGCTCACCGTTGCAAATTGGTACCATGATGAATAGAGGAAGAGGAGAAGCCAAATAACATTTCTTCTTTAGAACTTTTTAAATTTTAATTGCTGTAATGAAATTTAAATGAGGCATGGGAATCTTTTTAACATATTCGTAAAATGCGAAAAAAAATAATAAAGAAACAAAATTTTATTCCATTATAAAAAAATTTCCATGTTTCAGTCATTTTTTAATTCAGGCATTTATGTGCTAATTTCAAATTTTTAACTACAATTTTTGATGCTATTTAGATTATTAAATTTAAGGGTAATATGTGACGATTGCAAAAAAAATTTTTTTTTTCATTTTTTTTGCAATTTTTTGCAAATTTCATAAATATTGACTGTTTTGCAATTTGCACAAAAAAAATTATGCACGAAAACTAACTTCAATTGTATTTATTTTGATTTCGCAAAAATAAATAAAATTTAGCACAATATTTCGTCAGATTTTAAAAATTTCGAACATTATTTTAATTTTACTATGTTGAGCGAAAATTTAGAAAATGCAAAAAACTAATTCAAATGCTTACTGTGTTAAAAATATGCAAATTATTCAATTTCAAATCAAATATAATAATAACAATAAGGTTTATTTAAGTGAGAAATGATAAATATGAATAAGTAAGAATGAAGATCACAATAAACTTATGCTAGATAATTTCAGGGAACATTTGAACAATGAATAGATTAGCTGAATTACTGGTTGACACCAAAAGTGATTAAAACAATGCCAGAAGTTTAAGCAAAATATTTTAGTCATATATTTAATTTGATTAAAACCTTAAATATTACTTTTTGAATTTTTATTTCAATTAAAATAAACAAAGAGTGAAATAAAACGAAATGTAAAGTGATCATCTAGCAGTTGTGATGATGATTGAAGTTGACATTTTGTGTATACAACAGATTATAGCTTTCATGACCACTGAAAAGATTATTAGTGATAGTTTTGCTGATGATGCAAATGATACGCTGATGTATTGCAATGATAATGATAGCAAATGATAATAATAATGATAATAATACAACCTGTCCTGCAAAACATATCACATTAGAAGTAATAAAGGTGACACGCGATTTCTTTCTCATATCAACTTGTCACCCGCATAGTGTTCAAGTTGTAATTTACATTCCATCAACCATACAATCTTTACACTTTCTTAATTATCATTATTATTACTATCATCATCTTATTTCCCAATAAAACATCATTATTACAAGTTTTAGTTTAATTATAATACCAGTTTTATGTTAAAATTTTATTTTTCATATTTATAATTTGCAAAATTTCAATGAAATTTTAAGCGTTATATTTATTTTTATGTTTGATGCACTAATTTTTAAAATTTTCTCATAGAAATTAATAAATTGCACTGTCTAAAAGATTATTTTTTGGTGATTAAAAAAAAATTATACAGAGTTTTATTCAAAAGATTATATTTGTTCAGAATTTTTTTTTTAACTTGTGTTATATCTTACTCGAATAACATTCTTATTTGGATGCTTTTGCAATTTTAGATTTTAGTGTTGTGCTAAATAAATTATTGCTAATGTTATCGTTTTTATTTTTTTCTTTCCTACATTCTTTGAGTATATTTATCATTTACCTGATTATATATAGCAAAAAATAGAGTTCATTTAAAAAAAAAAAAAAAAAAAAAAAAAAACGAATTCTTTGAAATGAAGAAATCTTTTATCAGTGCTATAATATCATTTTTTTTTTCATGACATTTTTTTGCACAAATTTAACGTAATAAATAATGTTAAAAACCTAAAATTTTTTAATATTATGGCTTATTTACGTTTGTTTATTTGTATTCACCAAAATTTATCACTTAATCAACTCTTTTTTTCTTTCTTCCATTCTCCTTCACCTTCTCTCTCATATTTCACCATTGTGTAAATTAAATGATGTGAAATATCTGAAATTTTCTTTAAAATTACAACTTTTTATTTTTATTTATTTGTATTTTCCAAAATATATCACTATAATTAACTTTCTTTCTTTCTATCTTTCGATTTTTTTTTCGGTCTGACACATGTCTAATAAGGAGAGTGATATGAAAATTTTTGAATTAATGGCATCTTTACAGATAAGAAAAAAAAGTTTGATTTTATTTTTGTTCAATCTGAAGGATGCTCATTTCCGCTCATTTGGTCCTACTGTGACTGACGATGAATTGATGAAGTTGTGCGATGATAACCAGTCATTTATTCAATATATCCACTCAATTTGCGCTTATTCAGGTCAATAATTCACAGTAACCGAAACATTTATTACAATTTCCATTCATTTCATTCTTATTATCAGTAGAAAGTGAGACAATTAATTGATTAATTTTGATAATAATACTAATAATTGGTCATTTTTTATTCATTGAATTTTCTTGCTTCATAGCATTTTTTCTTGTTTTTTGCTAAATTCAATTATTTAGTAAATATTATTATATTTAAAAGAAATTAGATTATGAAAAATGGCGAAAGTGTAAAAATTAACCAAAAATTTTATGTGAAATGATAAATTCAATAATATTTCTATCATTGCAAACGATAATGCACATAGTTTTCCTTTATAATTTGATCTTTCTTTTTCTCTTTTACAGTTAATTTAATTTGTATTATCAATGAAATAAAAAATTGTTTTGTTCATTTTTGTTGCTTAATTGTTTAACCCAAATTGTTTATTATTTAATAAATCAAATATAAAATGGTAGTTAAAATGAATGAATTAATTTGCTGAAACAGTAGAAATTGCAACTATTTCTTTCAGTCAATAATGGCAAATGATCATCAGATGATTGAGTTAAATTATTTGTTGTTTATTTGCTAAAGTAACAATGTATCAAAAAGTTAGAGGTTAAAGGTCGAATAATGATGAATGAAAAAATGAGGGAACTTAGAAGAAAAAATGGATAACCTGATCGGTTCATTCAACAATTCCTATATCTGTTCTACAATGCAAATAATATAATTGATGGAAAAGTAAGCAATGTTATGTGCAAAACAAATATGATAAAATATCTCTATTTTTTTGTATGTGTTTTGTTTACAAAGCACAAAGATTGTTTAATACTAAAAAAGATGAATGATTACTTAAGAAATGTAATTATAATTAATATTAGGAGTAATTGTACAAATTTTAATGCAAAACTTAAATATCTGAAATTTCCGTGGTATAAAATCAAAACTTCAAAATAATTACATTTCATATTCTAGTTTTAAAAATTTTAAAATCAATCCTAAATATTATTAATAAGTACTATTCGGTTGAAACATTGCCTACAGCTTTTTAATAACAAGTTTATTTTTGTTAAACAATATTTGAGGCCTTCTTTTTTTACTTTCTATATCGAATAGATAGAATTTTAATGCAAAAAATATCAATTCATTATCCTAGAAAATCTATTTATTGCTTAGCAAAATTTATTATATATATAACAGTTTGAAAATTCCCTCACTTAAAATTTTGCTACTGCATTTTCTACTTCAAAATAAATATGTAAAAAAATATATTGAATTTTAAAACCGACCAAAAAAATAACAAATTTTACAATCGTTTCATATTTTACAACTATAAAGGCTTTAAAATATAATTCATAAAATTACACAATCAAATTAAACAATAATTAAAATATAGTTGAGATTACACAATCAACTGACATGCAGTTAATAAAATTACACAATTAATTAAAATATAGTTAATGAAATTACATAATTATTTTATCTATACCTTAAAGAAAAATCTGTTTACTGCAAAAAAAGAGAGAAGTAAGTAGATTACGGTAGTTATTTTCGATAAGAGAATAAAAAAACTGACAAATGCTAGATCTGTTGATGAAAGTATTAATCCTGCGAAGTGAAAAAAGTTAAGCATTCAATCATTATTCAGACAACAAATCTGTCAATCAGTGAGGGAAATTCACCAGATTTTGACACTTCAGATATGGACGAAAACATTGTATTAGATTATAAGTATGATTGATAAATTAGCAAAATAATGATAAACTAAAAATTAATTAAGATTGTAAAAAAAAAGTCATTTAATTTGGAGAAAAAAATATTTTGTAACCAAAATTTTTTTTTTGGTAAAGCTGCATTTAAAAAATGTGAAAAAGAATATATTGTGTTAAAAATTCTTATTTAATTTTTGGAAGATATAAAATTTTGGTTATCAAGAATTGTTTTGTTATAAAACAAACATTTATCAATTAATCATTATAATATCTTTTTTTTAATACCACTCATTTGAATCACTTTTAAATTTCCATTTTAAATTTACAAAATTTTGTTGTTAAATTTTTATATTTTGAATGTTCATATACTGTACTATGTAAATTTGCAGATTTCAACTTCTTCCAGATTAATTTGCTTCGAATTCGCTTCAGCTCTATATCTCTTTCGCTTTCTCTCCTTTTCTCTTCCATATTGATATTTCAATCCCAAATTGTTATGTCGGCCAATAATAAAGTTATTATTATCATTCAAAACTATTTCTTTCATTTTTCCGCGTTTATTTATTCTACTGACAATTTTTGCTTACATTATTTTCATCTGGAAAATTTTAAAAGATTGTGACAAAGAAAAAAAAAATTAGATAAAATTATGATGAATTCAAATTGAAGATAAAAACATATAAATATTTTTCTCTCTATAAACAAGTTGTGAAATAATCGTTATATTTCTTTTAAATTCATTCATTTGCATTTTGAAATTTATTTTCAAATAATTAAAGAAATCATAATAAATATGCAAAAAATAAATAACTTTTTTTTTCATATACGTTCACATTGCTTTTATTTTTTATTTTCTATTTTTCCTTTTTTTCTTGGAAGTGAGACATTTAAGCAATAGTAATTCTTTTCTTTTTTTTCATAGGTCATCTTAAAAGAATCGATAATAGATCTGACAAAAAAAAAACTTCGTATCTTACTTTATTCCATTTATAGCATATCTTTTTTTTCTTGAATACTTTATAGGGGGTAACTTCACTACAAAGTTCCTTTTTCATGTTTATAATTATTTTCTCTCTAGTAAATTAACATATTATTATCACTTGTATATGATGACATTCATTTCATTTTCTCGTCTTTTACTTTCTCATTTTTGCTAAAAAAGGAAGAAAAGGTAAGAAATCATTTACAGTAATGATGTAATATGTGTAATGAATACGATGAAATTGCGGTTAGATCAAAGAGGAAAAAATAAGAAGAGTGTTTCATTTGTTCGATTAAGTAATGTAAAACAATTTCAGTAGTTAAGTGATGGTCGATTAAAGTAAGGGCGAAAATAACTTTCGTCATGTAAATTACTGTTAATCGAGGACAAATGAAAATCACATTTTTGGTTGTTGAAAGAAAATGTCAATTCGCACCTTTTTTTCTGTCGGCATAGCATTTGATGATACCGACTTAATGAAAGGATATTATTCATTTTGTATGTAAAAGTGGGAATACAAAAAAGTGAGAGAGAGAAAGAGAAGAAAAAAAGAAAAGAAAGAAAAGAAATTAACGATGTGCCAATTATAAATGGTCTTTTTATAACAATATTATAATCATTGATAGTAATAATTAAAATAATAATTGTAAGAGTAGTAGTAATAGCTTATCCATTTACTTTTTTCATACTATTATTATATTCATTTAATATAAAAATTTTTTCTTTTTTTAATATATCACAATAAAAGATTTCATTTTTTTTTTTTTTATTTACTTATCATTTTATGAGCCTTTTTTAAAATGAACAAACAAAGTTTTAATATGTTTTTTTTCTAAAAAAAAAAAAAAAAAAAAAAAAAAAAACTAATTAAAAATTTTTATTCTAATTAATAACGTAAACCAATGTTATTTGTAATTGTAGCTGAAGAGAAAAATATTTCATCAGCTTAAAAATATTGAGCTTTAGAAAAGTTATTTAGCAAATATAAATTTTATATTATTACTTTTTTTTTTGAGTAATTATTGACTATTTCTTTTTTTGGAAAAAAGAAATATTTTTTCATATTTTTTTTTGAAGAAGAAACATTTATTCAAGTTCAGGTCTTATTGATTAAGTATATTATCCAGATATGATTTTAATCAAAGTAAAGCACCATTGATTGGATAAATTAGAACTCTACATTTGAGACAATCTTTTTTTCTTTTATAACTCTGATTAATAGATGAAAAAAAAAGGAAAAAAAAAAGAGAAATAAATTATTTGGCTTTTTCAAAAAATCTGTATATAATTTTAAAAACTGAACATCAGATAAATAGTTAGATTATTATATGTTTTATATCGTATGGTCAGATTTATTCACCTGTGAAATACACAATACACACTAATATTTTCAATTAATTTAATTTCACTTCAAGTTACCTTTTTTCATGCACTAATTTCTAAATTTTAATTCGTTTCCATAATTCTATGTAACTATTTTTTTTAAAAAAAGAACATATGTAAATTCTAATTTGTCACTTTTAAATTTTGAATTTTAATACGAGTAATAACTACTATAACTATTAAATGAGAAAAGATGATTTGCCTTTAAGCCAAATGATAATATCAAAACATTTATTGGATGATTGATTAAATATTTGTCATTTATCATATTATCTATTAGTTATTAATGCTACAATCAATATCATATCAGTATCAGTAATATACTTCACTTGAAATTAGTAGACAATTATTTTTAATAATTAAAACTTTATAAAAATAAATATCATTGAATTTTTTTTTTTAATCTTACATTTCTAATATCATTTACTAGCATCAGAATATATCATTTGATATATTTCTTTCTTTTTTTCTTCTTTCTTTTTTTGTTTGTCTTAATGAAGACCGAATCGTGATAAGCTTGGCGCTGATCGCTTTCCGAAACGTAATACGCCCGGTATATCATCATTACGTTTACCAAATCTTAGTACACCTGGAATATCTCCTTCCCTTTTACCGAATCTCAATACACCTGAAAATTGTACATAATAAAGTAATACTTAAAAAAGAAATTGCATTAACTTATTATTACTTTCAATATTGTATTATTATATTAATATCATCTTATTTATTATTGATATTGCTATCATATCATTATATCACTATTACCATTATTATATTAATATTATATACTATTGATATTGTATTATTATATTGCTATATTACTACTATACTATTAACACTACTTAACAATTACTACTATTATTACCATTACTAATATTATTAATACTAAATTATTATATTACTATTACTGCTATATTACTATTATTATTACCATTACTACTGTTACTACTAATAATTTATTACTATTATATTGCTGTCACTATTATGGCTATTATTGTTATTGCCACCATTACTATTGTTATTAATGTTATAACATTATTATATTAATATTATATCATTATTATATAATACTATATATTATCGATCGTACACCATACAATATAACTAACCAGGTACATCCTTTTTTTCATAATCATTTTCACCAAATGGCACTACATTTGGTACAAAGTTTTTGTATGGATAATTTGCACCATAATCACGTTTGCCAAAACGAAGTACACCTGGAATATCACCATAATCTGAAAATTAAAGGGACATATTTTTAGCATTCCTCTTTTTGAATAATAACCTGAAATTATTTTGAATCGCTTGATAATTTTACCTATCAGTTATCATTTTAAAAATATTTCTATCATCTTTTTTGGCTTAAAATAGTAAGTGATAATTTTCATTTCGAAGGTTGATTTATTATCTTTTTAGATCAAAATCAAAAACATTGAATCAATTAAATCACTCTCAAATTGTTTATTTTTCCTTTTTTTTTCGGAAATAAATAATTTTTGTAATTTCAAACTATCCACTCTGCTAGTGCTGTTTATTTTATTTATATTTCAAATTCTTTTTTTGAAATTTTTAATCCATTAAAGGTAATTGTGATTTCTACAATTGTTTACTTAAAACATCTTTTGTTAATTTATCAATTCATCACTTACCTAAATCTTTAATTTCTTATTTCTCTCTTTTCCTTTTTTTTTCTGCAATCATTTATAACTACAGTTAAATGAATTGCTTTAATTAAAAGTTTCTTTTGCATTTTCTTACTTATTACATTTTAATTAATGATTAAATCTTCAATCTTGACAGCTCTAAAATTTCAAAATTTTGAAATTTTAGAGCTAGTAGCAAAAATATGATGTGCTAATATAAAAAATAAATGAGAACGAATGCTTGCTAGCTAAAGAAATAAGCTTCATTGTTTAAATGTTTACTAGAAGAAAAAATTAAAATCTTATTATTCTGCATTTTATCAAAAAGTAAAAGGAAAACAAAAAATAAAAATACACATTTCATCAAAAAAAAAAAAAAAAACAATAAAAAAAGTGGAAGAGAAAAGTATCCAAAAAATTTCATTTGCATTTGCATATTTATCACATTTCAATTTATAATTAGATCGTTAATCTCAGTGGCTTTAAATTTTTTTTAATTTTGAATATTGATTTGATAGCAAAAGTATACTATGCTAACATTTCCATAATTGTCATTATTGTTGCTTTAAAAAAAAAAGAATTGGAAGAGAAAACTGTTCAAAATTAACATTCCATAATTGATACTTTAATGAAATCTTTGAAATGACACTTTTTTTGTTGTTGAAATAATTTAAAACAATTCAAAGAATGGATGGTATTCATATGGTTATGATGTAATTTAAAAAAATGAAACCTCTCTTAATTAATAATTCAGTAGCTGCTGGCTCGTATACATCATTTAGTGATCTGTAGAAATCTGTAAAAGGAAAGAAAAGTTATTGAATTGTGATAATTTTATTGGAAAAAAAATTTTTTTTTTCTTTTTTGTTTCATGCAATACCATCAGTTGTCATATTTTTTGTTCATTTTTACCTGCTTTTTTTTTATTTTTTTGTTTCAAAAAAATACTTTTTTTTGAGAAAAAATCTAACAAAAATCTATATTTTAAAATGAAATAATATTTCATTAATGCAAATAGTTGCTTCATACTTTTTACCGGTATTCTTTGCAATAATTAATTAGACAAATTAAATTAATTAATAAAGAAATCAATGTTTTGACCAGAAAAAAAAGAGAAATTCCTCAAAAATTTTCAGAATACTAAAATAAAGGATTGTTTTCCGGATTTTTTCATGCGAATCATGCTAAAATTTTTAATATTTCTCAAAGATTTGAAATAAATTTTTCCTTTATATTTATTTATAAATAATTCTGTGAAAAAAATTTTTTTCCTATCATCAATGACAGAAAAAAATGCTTCGATTAAATTTTGTTCCAAAATCTTAAATACTAAAAAAACAAATTGGAAAAAAAATTTTTTTAAAAAAAAAATTTAGAAAATTAATAACTGTGAAAAAAAATTTTTTCAAAATTTATTAACTATGCAGTTATATTGCAGATATGCCTATAAATAAAAGCAGAAAGTTTGAAAATCACTAAGCTTATTTTAAATTTAAATTAAAGGTTGAAAATGGTTTAACATAGTAAACTCGAAACAAAATTTGAAAATTAAGACTGATTCCATTTTAATTGGAATTAAAATTCCCTGTTTCCAGGGAAATATTCCATCTGTTCGATGAATTCAAAGCATCAAAGCTTATTAAGTTTCTGTTATATTGTTTAAATATTTTTAAATAGTACTGTAAAATAAAAATTTTGCAGTCCGTTTGCTTAAAAATTACAACTATTTCAGGCTTATTTGAATCTTTTTTAAATTACTCTTATCAATTTGGAAATGAAAGATTACCTAATTTCAAATTATTACTAATAAAATATAAATGATAATACATTATAACTATTAGTTAACTGGAAATGAAAAAAAAAATTAATTTCATTATGAATTAATTGAAATCATGCCAATATCAACAAATATGAAATAAATGTTGTCTATTCAGAGTGTTTAATCTGTATATTTTTCCTTTTGTCTTACTTTAATTTAAATAAACATTATGAACATTTGAATTGATTATACACTTAATACAAAATCTATTGCTAACATAGGATAATAAAAAAATTTTTTGAAGCTTAAATTTAGTATTCTGAATTAAATTTGAACATTACACTTAAATGATTACTTTGAAATTGTTTTTTTTTTTTTCTTACCCCTTCACAAATCTTGTTTCATTTATTTTTAATTTTATTTTAAATTCCTAGCTATTTCAGCTAATTCACCATAAAATTAAGTAGAAGAACTCAACCTTTTTTTTCAATGATTAATGATACACATATACAAGCAAGCAAGCAATTTACCTCTTATCTAATCATTTTTTTTAATGCTTTAAAAATAGGCTTACTCATTTGATACATTAGTTTTTAGAGGACAGAAAATTGAGAGTGTAAGATTAAAATGCCTCAAGAGATTTATGAAGTTGAGAAAATTGAATTTGTAGCACCAATTTATCGAGAATTTTCGAAATTGTCTCACCATTTGATATTTATACATTTTAATTGATTGTACTATTATTATTTCATTTCTAATTTTTGCATATATTTATAATGCGAAAGCAGAAATTACTTTTTATGATTTAATTTCAGTTAATTTTCTCCTTTATACACTATTTACATTTCATTAAAACTAAAATTTATGTATTTAATGATTGAATGAAAGCAAACATAGCTAACTAATTGCAAATTATAATTCAAAAATCTTTATAATCCACAAAAGCCGCAAAAAAAATAAAAACCTTACATTCATATATGTCTTCAGCTATAAAAACAAATTTTTAGCCACTTCTTTCTTACATATATTTTTAAAAAGGGTATTGTCCCAGGAAATATTTATAGGAAAAAGCGACAATGCTATATGAAATATTTTATCGAGCTCTTCTTCCTACTTAAATAATAATTTTTATTATTAATAATATGCTAATTCACCTAATTTCTTCTAAACTTTTGGCCTAAACATTTTATCCATCAAATTTTATATTTAGATTAATCGTTTAAAAAATAAAGATAGGTTACAGCATTTAAATATTAATTAGCATAAAATAAGAAATATATAACTTACTTGAATTATCCAAATGATCATATAAATTTGCTGCTGTTATTGTGGTTTTTGTTGTTGTCGTAATGGTTACAATGATAATTATAAGTTTTATCATTTGCAACAACCAACCTGTTGTTTCCATAGTTGCAATGAAAAATAAACAATTTGAAGTATATTGAGGCACCACTTTGTGTTAAGCCAGATTATTACTTGGCTGGAAAAAAAAGCCAAAAGAGAAATGAGGCCCAAGAATTGTTCTTCCTCAAATGACTATTTGTCTCTCTCGTAAATTCTATGATTTTTACCTTTCCCTTTTCTCAACTCTTTTATTCTACTTTTTCTCATTCCTTTTTTTATTTCCTTCATGTTTTTTTTTTTTTTTTTTAATTTGAGCAATAATATGAAAAGTCCCGCCTTCTTCTAAAGCTTGTCATTTTTATTGATATCAAGTTTGATTGTCAACAACGAATTCGTCGTCCTATTTCACTCATCTATCATGACATAAATTCAATAGATGAATTAAATTTGAATTCATTAGGGAAACATATTTAATAGTAATTCAAAAATGTTTATATATTATTTTTAAGATGAAACGTGTTTAAAAAAATTTTTTATAAATTTTTTTTCCTTTTTTTTTGCTTGACAAAATGTTTTCTCTCTTTTTGTTTCATATTAAAGTTAAAAATACAATGGTAAAGAGACAAAAATAAAACAAAAACAAATTTTATTTTATTTCATACCATTTCAAAAACCTACAAATTTGATATTTTTTTAATTTTAGAACAAAAAAAAATTTGTGAAAATTTTTTCTATAAATTATTTCATTTTTTCAAGCTAATAAATTTTGTCTGCAAATACTGGGATTTTTTTGATAAGATAAAAGGAGGAACTAGAAGAAAAAAGGCAGGTAAAAATACTATCATGTAAAAGTGAAAAATTATTGTAAATTTCGACATATTGCAAAAAAGAATTTTTAAAGCAATCACTTAATAAATTTAAAAAATTAATTTATTACAAAAAATAGTAAATTTAAAAATAAATTTAAAAAAAATTAATTTATTACAAAAAATAGTAAATTTAAAAATAAATTTAAAAAAAAAATTAATTTATTACAAAAATAGCAGTTTTTGAGTTAAAAAATCTCGTAAAATAGATTAAAAAAACTTGTAAAATAGATTAAGCGAAACTTATAAAATATAAAAAACTTTTCTTTCTTTTTTTTTAAAAAAGAAAGAAAACTCATATTCTGCAATACTTATTGCGCTTTTCTACTATAGAGACAGTTTTTTTTAATGTCATTTTATATTTGTGCCATATAATTTAATTATGAAGTGAAAAATTCTTTTTTTTTTTTTTTTGTCAGTGTTGATATCTGTTTTAATATCAATTTAAAAAGCTAAAATTTAATTCATCCTTTCATTTCAAAAAAATGGAAAAAAAAAGAATCATAAATAGATAGCAAAGCTAAAAGTTTCCTTTTACTTCTTTTTGGCTTTTATGGTGTTTGGCATGAAAAGATGATGAAGAATGATATGATAATAAATGAACTGATAAATGAATTTTTATTTAAAAATTCATAAACTTTTAGAAATTAAAAGAGACAACAAATCATGAATAATGTATATGAAATATATGTTATAAAAATTAATTTACTAGGAAATTTAATGAAATTTAAATTTGACAGATTTAATTAACAATATTAATTTCTGGTATTATATTCAGATAATTAATACTGATTTTGATACCAGTATTATTTGTCTAAATATAATCATTTTAAGAGGTTTCATTATCATAACAATAAGTAATCGGTAATTATTCAATCATTTATTAGAAGCTATAGTAATTAATGGTTCGATCTAGATGTCTTAGTTTTTTTTTTTTTTTCCTTTTTTAATGAACTTCTCATTTTTTTTTTAAAAAAATTATACTTACCAAATCATTTTAATCACTAAATTTTATTCATTCTAATGCTGTTTGTAGAGAATTACTAGCAAAACTAGTATGACGAAGTTGTTAAATAATTTTGAAATAAAAGTAAATCTAAACTTTAGTTAAACATAGCCTGAAACAACTGCTACCTCTTTACTTTATTGTGACTTAATCATTAAACAACCATCTGTTTATCTTGTTGTTTTGAATCATAATAAAATATCAATTGCTAACATATAATTCACGGTTCAGCAGTTCTTTTTTCTATCATACTAAAGTTACTCCTAAAACTATTCGCATCTTTTGATGATAGACTTAATTATCATTTAATGACTGAAAAATTCCTTATCTCATTGAAAATTTTTATCTCATTAATGATTTTTTTCAAAAAAAAAAGAAAAAAAGAAAAAAATTTTCTAAATTATTTTCCATTGAAAAATAAATAAAAAATGAATTATTTGGACAAAAATTTCATGTTTTTACAAAATTTAAAAAAAGTAAGGAAAAACGAGTGATGTAGAATGATTGATACATTCATTTAGAATTTTCTAGCGCTTTTAAAAAATTTTAAAATTCTCTCTTTCAATTTCAAAATATAATATATAGTCGGTGAAAATAATTGGTGTGCTGCTGTGACATTCATTATTTAACATTAAATTGTATCATAACTATGCTTAAAAAAAACTAGTCATCAATTTTTCTTCTTTTTTTTTAATAATAAAAACTTTATACTTTTATTCATATCTGCAAGAATTTATCGGACAAATAATCGAAAAGTAAAATAACTTTTACTTTCTTTTTTTTTGCTTTTCAATTTAATCATTTTGATATAGCGAAAAAAAGAAGAAAGGAGAGAGAGAAGGAAAGGAAGAGAAAAAGAAAGAAAGATATATGCTACTAATTTGTTTATTGTAATTTATCGTTAATTTTTTTTTCTTTTTTTTAAATGTGAATAATAATACACAGTAAAATTTGTGTTAAATTTTTATATTAACAAAAACCAAAAGACTTGGAAATTTTTAATTCATTTTTATTTAAAACAATAAAAGAAAAAATGTAAATAGGAAATAAATAATAAATGATTGATTTAATTTAATTTAAATTCAACGTAATATAATTGCTATTAAACAGTTGTTGGATTAATTTGATAAATTTGAGCTATGAAAATGAAAAAATAAAAAATAAAGTGAAAAAGAAAGGAGTGAGTGAAATAATATAGATAATTGAAAAAAAAGGAAAGAAATTACTTTCTAAGGTTAATTCAAAAACAATTTTGTTTTGTTTTTTTCTTTAAGAAAAGGGCAGATAATATTAATTGGATAAAAAAAAAGAACTAATACTTCATTAACAAATAATTTGATGAAAAATTACAAATATATGTTAATATGAAAAATAGTTCGGTGCTTCATTAAATCAAATATATGCTTTTTTTTTTTTGAGAAATTTAATATCTTCAATGAATATGAAAAACTATAATGTAAATTGAAACCAAAGTAAATTTCTGTTTTCTTCAATTTTCATTAAAAAAAATATCATAAATTCTCGAGCAGTTCTTATAAACAATTAAATATTGTTCAATTTATTTTTTTTTTTGTATAATAAATTTGAATATTACAAATACCTTTCAAAATAAAAAATTATTTATTTGTGTATTATAAAAACAGATTTTTTATTATATTATATTTATTTGATCATAATAGTTATATATTAACAATCAAAAAGATTAATCTTACAGGTACATATGCATGTATAATATATTATTAAAAGATTTCGAAAAAAAATTGGGCAGAAATTAAATTTCAGAAAAAATAAAGACTAAAAATATTCACCAATCGATTAATATCGTAATTTATACAAATTTTCAACTTCTTTTTTAAAATTATCATTGAAAAAAAAGTTTCCTTACATTTTTTTAATGTTTTTAAATGATAAAGAAGCTGATAGAAAAAACATAATTTAGTTATAATCAGCTAAGATGAAATACCCTTGTAACTTTTAATTAAAAGGTAAGCAAAAAACGAGTAATTCATTTTTCCTGCTCAGCATGTAGTCAGTTAATAGTATCAATCATCACTTTTTTAAGTTTCAAAAATTTTAAATTAATTAAAAATAAGCAAAAATGAATGACTTTCTGCTCGATTGCACATGTAATCATTTAACGATATCAATTATCATTTTTTTCATGTACGCAAAAGATTTACAGTTAAATAAACAGTAAAACTATAAAAAAATATGCTATTAATTTCAAATTAATTAAAAGCTAGCAAAAATAAGTAAATAGTTTAATTAATTTGATAGCTTTAAAATGAACAATTATTCATTGAAACCATTAAAAAAAAGGAAGCTAGAAAAAGAAGGAAACAAAAACAAAACAAAACGATAATTTGGTTTAGTTTTTTTCCAATAAAAATATTATCAATAAAATATGCAAAAAGAATACGCGAATATACGGTGAGTAATTGTCTTTGGGGCAATTCTCTCTCCTTCTCTCTCTCTCTCTCTCTTTCTCTCTATGATAATGTACCGAGATACTCCATTCAAATTCATTTGTTTGTCAAATTCCCATGAGTAATTTCAATTTTATGCATATAGCATTTGTATAATATCATAAAAAATTTTAAAGTCATGTTTTCTCTTTCCCTCTCTCTCTCTCTCTCCTTACTCATTAATTATTTCTGAAAAGCAAATTTTGAGAGATAAAAAGAAAAATATTTTGAATAAACCATTTGCTGTTTATAGCAATTTTTTTATTTCTTCCTTTTTTTTTATTCTGCAATTAAGACGATTAACCAAAAATATTATTTATAAAAAGATTTATCACATGATACCATTTTTGAAATATTTCAATTAAATCTGTTATCAGTTTCTTTGTTTTTATTTTAAAACTTTTATTTTTTGAAATAAACATCGAAAAGAGTTAGCTAACGATTATCAGTTCAATAATTAGTTTTCGTTTTTCTTTTTTTTTTCCTTCTTTTTGTTTGGTAGTGCTAACTTATTGTTAAATTCCCAAACATTTTATGTTAATTCATTCAATATGAATTTTGAATCTTAAATGGTAATGCATATTTTTATATTTAAAAACTTTTATAACTAATTTGTTGAAACGTAATTGCTCAAAATTTTGCACTACATGTATACGTGTTTTTTGTTTTGACATTTTCTTTTATTAAAAATAATTTGTAAAATATTACAATATTAAACACTTTATTA